TTGTCAGTACATGGGTTTCCATGGAAGCTAATTTGCCACCTTATCATCATTTCTATATTTATCACGCATTCATGAGCATCATCACTAATTAACAGTACTATAATAGCTTTATTTTGATGTTGGAAGATATAACGGATGATTTATAGCACATGTAAGGTGATATCATGGAGTAAGGCTTTCTTTGCAATCAATCAACGTTGAAGGTTACTTTTGATCATACCATTTAATCTGGGATTGGCTACCGTGATCGCGAAGCTTGCACACAGGAAGGTGCGCTTCACCCCGCCGAGCACATTGTTCTCTTGAAGACTCCACGTTTCGTTTTAAAATCTTTAAATATGACTGTCTTTATGTTTAAACTATGTTGTAAGCGTGATAATTTATATGAGAAGTGGTCTTTGTTCATTGTGAAGTAGCTTGACCCTGATACAGCCAAAGATGCAGACGGACTTCTTTGTGTAACTCAGGTGCTTTGCATGGCTGGAAGGATGGAAGGATGATATTGTATACTATCGACAATAGCCCATACATTGCGAGCTATCAGCCATTTCCTCACAATCGGCACCGTTGTCCACTCTATGACATATGAGCGATTCTCCTGCTCCAGCCCATCATTTCCGTCATTGGCAAGTTTCTTGATCCGAGAGGATTTGGCTGAGTTACGCTCGATCAAAGAAGTATCATCCAAAATCATCAAAATCAATGTGATTGATTATACGTAAACTGCCACTTGATAGCCCATTCCTCCCAATCATCTTTGTTTCCCAATCCAATGCATGTGAACGATTGTCCTGCTCCAGTTCATTATGTGCATCCTTCAACTTTCTTGATCCGAGAGTATTTGACTGAACACCGCTCAAACAGAGAAGTATCATCCAAGCATCAGAAAAATCATTTGATTTCCAGGTCTTCCAGGTCTTCCACTTCCTCCCATCTCAACTGTTTCCCCATTCAAGTACAACTACCACCTACGAACGATTGCCCTGCTTCAACCCATCATGTCAATCCTACAACTGTATTGATCCAATTGTCTTTAGCTGAATGGCAAGTCCATGGCGTGTACACAGCCTTTCTGTCACTCTTCTACAACACACGGGTCTCTTGACATTACACACTCTCTTGCACGCCTCATCTGCCACGATCAAGCGTAACAGCATTCATTGCAGCAATTGCTATTAGCAAGGTCTCGACTCCATGTCTCAAACAGCGTTAACCTTGTCATTCTACTACAACATACGCTCTTGCACACCTGTCGCCCACGGCCAAACGTAACAGCAGTTGCTATTAGCAAGGTCTTTGCTCCCTTGTCTCCAGCAGCTTTATTTACGTGTAGCAACTTACATCAATACATACGAGTTCTTATGGATATGGACATGGACATGGATATGGATATTGCTTTGGTACTTGGCATGGGAGGAACTGGATATACACAACACGTGGAAAAAGAGTGTGCCAATTGCCAACATGACCTGGATGTTATCATCCTGAACGATTGATACAGCCAAGTATCGTGCACGGCAGCTACTATCACCATTCTTTGTGCAACCTGTCAACCATGAACGCCATGGATCCAACTCGCCACCACGCATCTAGTCCCACCTCACGTTCATCCATTCATCTTTACGCAATACACACTTAAAGGATAGAAGCTTCTCAAATCGATGTGTCTCTCAATCTATGCCCATTCTATGTATCTCTTGTGAGCGATGTTGGATTAAAGGGCTACTTTGCGAAAACGTGATTGCATTGGCCAACCTATAATGTATAGTGTGTGAGGGTCCTTCCTTCTTCCTGAGTTGGATTCCTCCTTGTGTGTGGGTACTTGGTGCATTGTAATATAGGAGGATCCATTTGTAAATGTGCTCTAATAAAGGAAAACGATCTTGAACAAAGGTGGTATTGGAAACATACTAGCATGAATCCACCCCCCGGTGTCGATACGTCATAACACACGTTCACGTTTGGTGCTGATAGGTAGATGACATGATGATGGGTGATTTATGAGCGACGAGCTGCCTATTGATCAACGGAGGTAGCATCCATACTAGCAGCAGTAGTCATTGAATGACAGGTTATGTACGCTCATTGTTGGATCACTCTAAATAGCAACTGGCATCAAAGGTCACGTGTGGTGTTCTGTATGATACCCAGCGGGATGATACTTGGTTGCTCACCCAATGCTCGTGTTGTACTTTGCAAGTAATTGACATTTAACAACACAAAGCTACCACACATTGGTGGATGGTACATGTTGCATAATACGATAAAATTCTCCGGATTGTGTCTTTTCTTTATTGGTTTATATTGTAATCCTTATTTCTTGTTCCTGTTCCTTCATACATCTCGATGCAGCAAACAGATCGACAGCAACACCAACGGCGCACCTATACACCATCGCTTAAGCCTAATAATGGTGGTAGCAACAATCATACACCAAATTCATCCATGGCCAATATGACGCTTTTCAGTAGCAGTGCCGACTTATCTATTACGGGCGGTGTCGTCAATACTACAGAGCAAGAAGACTGGGAAGCTTTATTTAATCCACATTCAGCTCTACTTGACTACTCCCCGGCTACAGCTCGATTCCATTACCAGCAAAGGCAGCAGCAACGGTATACGGCTACTACAGTCCAACCACTCAACACCAGTAGCAGTGATAGTTACGAAGAAGACAAAGATGAAATAACAACACCACCACTGCCGCGTGCTGAAAATATGGTTGTCGAGCCCAATGCCAATAACCCACCCCATTTAAACGGGATTGATATCTTGCCATGTCCATCATCATCCTTTTTTTATCCTCCCCAAGAACAAGATCCATATCGAACACAGCTAATGCAAGATATCGAAGAACAAGGTCTTGCAGACCACAACGACCAGTATCACAATAAGACGATAAAGGAAATCCAAATACAGCAACAAGAACAACATTTTCAGGAACAATATCAACAACAACAACAACAGAAAAAGAAATATGATCCCGAATCGACTCCTGATGATACATTCAACAACAATGTTGATGACAATGAAAAAGACCATGAATCCAAGTATCAGCGATGGTTGCTCTTGTTACAGCAAAAACGGCAGCATCGACCACGACGTGTGTTTTTATATTTCATTCTCGGCTTTGTGTTTCCACCCATGTGGATCGTGGGTGCTGTGCATGTCCCCCACCAACCAACATCTGCAGCTATCGATTTGCTTTGGAAACGTCGATGCAGAAATGCATTTTTCATCTTTTCGGTGATGACTCTTTTTGTGGTGATCATCCTGCTCGTTTTCCAACCTGGTTCCATTGGATGGCGTCATAGCCCAACAGGGTCAACGACGTCTATAGATGATAGCATGATGGCTGTTTAACGTGTGTGTGCGTGGACCAGCAATAAAAGTGCGTATAGTGTGTACAGATTGTATTTGATTTTTGGTTGTGACAAAGTGCATATGAAACGAAACAATGGGTGGGGGACAAAAACTAGTATGCTGGTGCATGTTTTCTCTTGAATCGTAATAACGATGGTAAAATCTCAATCGGACCCGCTTTTTGCAAGAATGAATGCTACATCATCATCATCGTTAGTTCATTGTCTCATAATTCATTGTACTATAACCCACCTCTAAAAGTTCGGAGGCTGTTGCTCGAGATTTGACATCCACACATAAACAAACTGCCAAAAAGCTTTTGAGGTCGGAAGAAAGTCGCTCGGGATGCTTTAGTACAGGCGTGCCATTGGTAGCGATCAAGTAGAGTGCTTTGAGAGGCTCTTCATCCAAATAGGGTGGCTCACTTTCAATCATTTCAATGGCCATAATACCTAAAGACCAGATATCCACTTTGGCTCCATACTCCTTTTGTTTGACTACTTCAGGCGCCATCTATATTCAAAAAGAATCAGCTTGTGATGATGATTCCCAATGTCCATATTCTTACCCAATAAGGTGTGCCGACCATGGTAGCACGCTTGTTGCGTTGATCCGTAAGTTTGGCACAGTATCCAAAATCACTGATCTTGACCTGCCCCTGGAAATTCAAAAGCACATTGTCCGATTTGATATCTCGATGGATAATGTTGTGTGTGTGAAGATGGTGTAATCCTTTGGCCGTCTAATGACTTGGTGTGAGTCCAAGTATCAAGATCCAAACCTCATCTCATCCATGACATACCTCAGCGCTTACGATAGCAATTTGCTGTTCGGTCATTGTGTTGTTTTCAATGACATCGGTCAATGCACCACCTTCCATGTATTCCATGACTACCCACAAGTTGCCTTGTACCAAGAAGCTGTCCAGGAAATTGACAATGTTCTCATGCTTGGATTCTTTCATGATCATGATCTCATTCACAATCAAATCCAGTCGAGATTGCTTGGCGAGATCCATCTCCTTAATAGCCACCTTGCTATTTGTTGCCAAATGGTTGGAGAGAAACACATATCCAGACGCACTAGATACATCCATGTCAGACTTCCATGTATCATCCGCACCCACAAAAAAGAATACTTACCCTTGACCAATACGTTTAACTCGCTTGTATAAGCCATTCGGATCACCACTGGATACAACAGAGCCTGATGCCAAAGTCAACTTTAGTAGGATGGTATCGCAAATAAAAGTGGTGATGATACATACGGAGACGTTCCATAATTTGAGCATCGGTCATAGTGCTGATACGCTGTTCTTGGCGTTGTTGTTGTTGCTGCTGTTGTTGACGTGAACGATCCGTACTCATTGATGTGGCTGGAACAGGTGTTGATGCTTGTGGTTGAGGTGTTGGTGCTTTCTTTAACTTGGATACTGGATTGGTCGTTGTTGGTTTTTCTTGAGTTGCAGCACGCCCTTTGGAGTTGGCACGTTCAAGTGCTATTGCCACTTCTTTCAGTCGTTCTTTTTCACGCTCAAACTTGGATCGTTCGGTGGTTCGGGTAGTTTTTGGGAGTGCTGGTATAGGTGCCTTGCTCTTAGTGGTGGTAGTGGCGGTGGTGGTGGTGGTGGTAGTAGTAGTAGTAGAGGGCTTTGTCGTTGAACTAGTGCTCGTAGTTGTAGGAAGTTGATTTGATGAAGGTTGAGGTGTTGGTGGTGAGACATGATGAGCTGCTTTTCGTGGTTGCTGTTGTTGTTGCTTGTTGTTAAGGCGTGGTTGTGGTGGAGATACCTTGCTGCTTCTCTCAGTGGATACCTGTAATAGTGATGGTATAATGATTCAGATTTCATCCGGTTCTTTGCCTGCATTACATGCAACATCTCACTAACCTCTTTTAAGGGTTCACCTGCAGTGGTGGTGGTGGATGACTTGGGATCGTGTGCAAATGTAGGTGCCACCTATTTATGGTCACTCATTCATTCTTGTGCATTGCTTATCTCTACCATTCTCCCATTTTACCTGTGATGCTTTAAGCTTCTCTTTGAATGCCGGTATATTTTCCTTGGATGGCATCTCTGGTCGACTAGGTGGATCACGATAATGACGAGGTGCGGGTGTTGATCGACTTGGTTTGGGTTGCTGTGCTGATGGCTTGTGTTGTTGTTGCTTGCTATTGTTGGCAGCCGCAATTTGTTGATCCTTTTCCTTGCGTGCTTGCTCAGTGTAAAACTCGAGTGCCTCCAATACAGCTTGAGGGTTCTTTGCGGCGTCTTCGGCAGTAATTTTGGAACCTTTCAATAGAGCATTCCATTGTTCAGGAAGTCCCTTGATGATGATATCCAATATCAATCCACTTTTCCTTCATCCTTTGTTGTTGTAAATGAATACTTACTGTAAAGGCACCTGTGAGTGGATCGAAACCAACATGGACCTTGTGTACGAAATTGGTTGGACCGGAAGCTCCAAGAGGGGATCGCTTTTATAAATATGTGAGCTGCATAATTCTTTCATGTCACACACGTACACACGTACACACATGCACTTACATTATAAATCTCATCCATCCAAGAATAGAGTTCCTCATCACTTTTACATGCGAGATAATAGGTTTTGCCTTTGGTCCCCAATTCAAAGCAATGTGATTTGAGTTCGGCGCGAGTAACACTGTTGATGTCTTTGAGGAATATCAATGCCACACATTGGCCGGTTTGCTACACAAAGGAAATATATAAGTTCCTTATCACACCCTTTCCATCCTTATAATCAATCAAAAGCATACCTCGTTGCGATGAAATGTCAAGGTCTGCTCACGTAGTACAACATAGCGTTTGGACCAAATCCATGCCCGTATGCCATCTTCTTTCACTTGCAGGTATCCATCTTTCTTTATCTCAGCCATCTCAGTCGTAGTTGTATTCGCGTTTTTGCTGAAGCGTTGGTAAAGGGACTGATGAGGGAGTTGACAATAAAGATCGCAAACGAAAAGAGTGCAAGTGCGTGCGCGTGAGTGTGAGAAAGAAAGAAAAGGAAAAAGGAGATAAAGAAAGCCTCGGACTGGATCCTTTTTTAAAGGACAAGTTAGTCGAGTGCGCTATAGCTTCAGGGGCTAAAAACCGACCACTGCTGGGTGGCCCTTGCTTATCAGGGTCAAAGCACAATGGACACGCCACTCACCCCATTGAGCTACCATGCTGTCATTTCAAAGACGAGACGTGTCTTGATCGAGTCGTGCATTCAAGGGCATTTATCCGGTGCATGTCTGCTGCTGAATGAGATCGCAATCCAGACTGGCATTGGTGTTAAAGAGAAACGTAAACGACGAAGTAGAATAAAAGAAGAGTCGATTTGATGCTACACAAGAGACCAACAAGACCCCAAGCAGAAATTGTAATGAAAAGGGTTCACTTGCTTCTGCTGCTCCTTCTCCTTTCCTTTTTACCTACCATCACAGCAGTTCTTTATCTCTCGATACGTCATCATCATCATCATCCTCACCATTCATACACCACACACACATACACATACACATACATATACACATCTCGAATCCCATATTCCATTAATAGTACCATGTTGATTGTCAACCATTTAAGTATATAGATGAATGAGTACATCAATCCTTTATTATAAAACAATGAGTGGGTAATTTACCAGGTTGATCTTTGTGAATGATCTTCATTGTTAGTTTTTTCATTCAAACTTGATAGGATGAATAAAGAATCAATCCTACCCAATGCATTCAGGCGTTGTTTGTGCGCCAATGATGCATCATCATGCTCATAGGAGGAGGACTCAGAATTACTTAACAACCACCACAACCAAAAATAGAAGATGCCAAGTAATGCAGTTGCTTGAAAGAATAAAATGGGAAAAAGTTATCGCGTTCGAATCAGCAATGTTATCCCCTGCTGTCTCATGCGTGTGCCTGATGATGCTGCTGCCTCTACTAAACTTTTGTACTGGGCACTTTGGGAAAAAGGGATGAAGTGTGTGGTATCCTGATAACCGGGGCACAAAGCGCTGTGTGTGTTTCTCCTTCCTTATTGCCTCTTCTCTCCCATATTCCTCACTCACTCCACTCTCCCCCCCCCCTTGAGCAAGATACGCGCACATGCATGCCACGTTGGCTGCGTTTGCCATTCTCCATCATTTTACCCACTATGATCATTCTCTTTACTCGGTACCCACTTCCGACTATCCTCAACGCCGCCGAGCCAAGTGGGTCATTGTGTTACCTATGTATACAAGATGGCCTGCTGCTGACACTTCTTGACATGCACTCAACGAAAACTCGTATGCGGGTAAATATATACACATGTATATAGTTGTGGAGTCACACTCTCTCTCTCCCAAGATAGCATTTATTATGCCAAATGTAAAGTCTGCTACAGGTACAGCATATGCATCATACAGGCATCATCCTAATAAATGCCTCACTTTGCCACTGGGCACACATCATCCTTCACGCACACACATACAATTCCCCTCTTTTTTGCAGCATAACCTCCTCCTCCCCTTCAGGTCTCTCTCCCCCCTTTTTTTCCTCTCTCGTCCACCACACGCATGTCGCCCACCAATTTTGATTGCCCTGCGTACAATATGAAGGCTACCGTTTCGCCCGTGGTGTTGCCTCTTTCCTTCTCTTTCTCCTCATCTTTCTCAACACCCATTCTCTATTTCATCGTGTACAATATAACCCACACTTTACCTGTACTCTATCAAAACCCATTCTTTTTCTTTTTTCCTTGTGTGTGTATTTCTAGTTGCTCTGTACAACAATAACATTTATTCCTGATCCCCTGTCAGAATTATGCCACCTTCATCACAAAAGAATTCAACAACAACAACAACAACTTCTTGCTTTGATAATGCAAACCAATCTGCAACCGAGCCTGTTGCTAGTACCAAGGTTGATCTCAAGGAAGAACAAGAGTCTACAACTCAAGTAACGATGCCCACTGACGACACTGTGAGTGAACGTATGACACAAATTGATGATCTCAAGTACTTTTTGGCGACGGCACCTGACAACAACAGCAATGTTGGATGGCAAGTTGTGGAAACCAATAGCTCGATCAAGCGCTTCCGACTCCCTGTTGTCAACGAGGATATCAGCTGTGTGCTTTGGGATGATTTCTTTTTCATGACGGGCACCGATATCGTGAGATCATTGACTTTTCGATTCCATGCCTTTGGTCGTCCAGTAACCAATGCCAAAAAGTTTGAGGAAGGCATCTTTAGTGATCTACGCAACCTCAAACCCGGGATGGATGCTCGTCTTGAAGACCCAAAATCGGATTTACTTGATTTGCTTTACCGCCACAATTGTATTCGCACCCAAAAGAAGCAAAAAGTCTTCTTCTGGTTCTCGGTGCCGCATGATCGATTATTCCTGGATGCATTGCAGCGTGACCTCAAGCGTGAAAAACTTGATATGGAACCAGCTACCACTGCTGTTGCTGAACCTGCCACTTCCATCTCACTTGATTCGTCTATGGATCTATTTGACAAGTTGCGAAAGGCTATGGCACAAGCTGCTGCTGCTGAAGATACCACCTCCACCTCCACGCATGTCGATTCTTCAACTGGATGTAAGTTGTAGTAGCAGTAGTAAAAATGAAAAAGGGCTATGTAGTATTAACATAGAATAACAAAAATGATGATGATAGGCATTGGCAATGATTGTACGCCAACACGCTTCAATGATAATGATCAACAAGAACATGGAGTACGTCGACATGGTAGTACAGTGTTGACAGCACGAGCCAGTGGCAATGGGCGAATCGTGAAACCGATACCAGCATCACGACGTATGACTGAAGCTGATCTTTCCAAGAAACGGGCATTGTTTGGTGCATTGGAATTGTTTGATGGATCACCCATGTACAAGCAACGTCGTCGTCGCCATCGATCAGCATCAACAGCATTTCATGCAGCTGCATCATCATCATCATCATCAGCATCATCCCCATTAGCAATGATGGAGACGCCACACCATTGGCGATCAACAACGACCCCCTGTGATTGGATGATGGAACAACCTCGAGCATATACTTGCCCTCATTGTGGAAATCCTTTCCAACAACTCGAGTTGCTTGACGCTCACTTGAGATCACACGAGCGAGAGCAACCCTTTGTTTGTTGCCTATGTGGAAAACGCTTTGTCTGTCAATATGGCCTAGCTGAGCATCAACATGTTTTCCACCCATTCGACAGCTGCTGTTGTTGTTGTTGCTCCTGGAGTCCAGATGCAGCTCCCATTCCACACCCACAACCACAACAGCCACCCTCTGCTGTTGCTGCTGCTGTTACAACGCCCATGCTTGACGAAGATGCATCTTCTCTTGTCACATCACCTTGTACCCCCACATCCCTGTTTACGCCCTACATGGATCCCTGTTGGTCAGCTTCGGTTGCAACGCTTGCCAACAACAACAAATCAGCCGAGTATCCCAACATGTGGTTCACCTCTACAACTGATGATTGGATGCTTCAACAAAATGATTTGTTGGTTTCATCATCACATCAAGAAGAACAGCAACAAGAAGAACAACAATACCTTCCACCTTCACAAACATCACCACCAGCAATGGTATCAGCAGATTGGTCCATTCCTCTCTTGTGAACATCCTTCTCCTCCTATCCTTTGTTATTATTATTATCATCACCACGTTTTATTATTATCAGCATCATTGCCATGTATACTTATCCACAAGCACTCCCATACACACACACACACACACAAATTATTATTGACCCTTTTCTTTTCAGCAGCAGCACCGGTGCTCACTGCCTATATCGCCTCCATTTCTTATGTCTTTTGTATGCTACATTATAATGGCTGACACTCTTACCCTACCTACCTCCCCCCTTATACGACACATATATTGCTCCTTATGCATAAAAAAAGTTGAGAAAGAGCTAAATAAGATTATGCACTCCACGCGAATAAACCATCTTTTTTTCCTCTACATGGTATGTACAGCTCCTTTATGCAATCAAGACATGTGCACAGCAAATGCAACAGGGTTTGGCATTGCATATCATTATTTCTTGGCATACGTAAGCTCAACATAACCTCTGTGCTGTTCCCCATCCAACCCCTAAAAAAGAAATATACCATAAATGTCGATTGTTTGGGCGGGCAGGATGCATGCAACTTGCATCCAATCATCCACTCAAGTCTAGGTACAAGGCGCACGTGGGCTTGAAAGGCAAAAAACGACTTTTTTATAATCCTCAATTGATATTAGAAAGCGTAAGATAGATACAAAACGAGAAAAAGGAATAGAGGTAGGGAAGAAAATGAGATATGAAAAAGCATTACTGATGTAACATTATAAGATGGTGAGAGAGAGAATGTGTGTGTGAGGCGAGAAAGCATGTCGTGGGTTGTTACTTTTTGGCGAGAATGGGTGGGCTTGTTTAAGCGTTCTCAGGCTTCTTTGCAACGAAAAAGAACATGGGAGTGAAAAGATTCTTTTGAGCACCTTCGACCAAAGCATCAGCGGCAACCTCCAAGAACTTTTGAGTCTCAACAGTGCCCTTGGGAGCAAGACCGATTCTTTCCAAGACACGGCAAAAGTTGGTAGTGGTGAAACGACCGAGCTTGGTCATAGCCATCGTAGTAAGGACATCACGCATGGTTTGGCATTTACGGATATCACCTTCCAAAGGATAGAACCATTGGATGCTATCGCCCATGTTGGCCAAATCCTCATGCATCTCAATCTCGAAACCAACGTTCTTGAGAGCTTGAAGACATTCTGCAATCTTGCGCATCTTAGGGATACCATTGCCTTTCTATAGTTGAGGTATAAGTAAACCCATCCTCTTTGATAGATATGCCCACATCCTGTTCTCTTACCTCGATACCATGAGCAATACGACGGTGTTCAGGGTTCTTTTCATCGTAATCATCGGTCATGCACCATTCATAACAACCAAACTTGGCACCAGGCTTCAAGACACGGAAAATCTCACCATAGACACCTTCGAAAGTAGGAGCGTGAACGGTGGCTTCAATAGCGTAAGCAGCATCCAATTGGTTATCCTCATAGGGAATCTCCATAAAGTTGCCCTGTGACAACATTGTCAACATACACGTATATAATGTCAAAATCAATTTATCATGCTTACCTTGATGAAGTTGGTTTGTTCAGCAAGACCTTGCTTAGCAGCATAGTGGAAAGCACGTTGAACTTGGTAGGCGTTGTTGTTGAGACCAGTGATATGAGCACCAGTGAATTCAGCAATCTCACGAGCGGGTCCACCTTTGATGTGATCATGATACGTTAATCCCATATGCAATAGATAACCAGCCACACACTACTTACCAACACCGCATCCAACATCCAAGACCTTCATGCCACGCTTGATACCAATGTTGGCAGCAAGGTAGTGTTCATGACGAGCAATGGCACGGAAGAACTCCTCACCAGGATAGTAACGGCAAAAATGGAAACTGCCACCCCAACCTGTCAACAAGTGTGTGTGCGCGCGTTTGTGAGTGAATCATTCTATCAAGCAAGGTGCTCTTATAAATGGACACTTACCGTATTCATAGAAATCAGTGGCCAAGTTGTAGTAAGAGTTGACCAATGCAGTGTAGCTGTCGAGACGCTTGTTCTCATCTTCCTCATTTTCAGCACCAGGTTGCTTCCACATTTTCAGGTACGTGTCGGTGGCAACGTTGTGGACATCGGCATTCTTGGAGGCCAAGTTGGACAAGAGACCGCTCTTGATTTCCTTGCCGTGCATAGCGCGGGCAAAAGCAATGTCTTCGGCGTGTTGGGCGGAAACGGCAGATGAGGTGTCGGCAACCATGATGGACAAGAGATGGAACAAGGGCTGGTAAGAAAAAAGTTTGGAAGGGGTTTTTGTTACGAGAATCCTTGCGTTTTTATTTGAGCGGGTCAAATACTGGGTCTGAATATTTGGGTTGCACAATCGCCCTCCACTTCCTTCGGCCTTCCTGACAGAAGGCGGGTAGCCTAGCAGCACCATCACCACCACCACCTACCACCGTACAAGGAGCCAATGTCCGCATTATCATTCACGCTTCGTTATCCCCCACCCCTTCCCCCCAAGCATATCCTTATTATTATTGGTAACCATAGAAACCGTTGACATCATCTTGTAAATATGGTACACGATTAAACTTTCAATTATCACATGTCTTTCTTACCTTGATGTTGTTGCCAATAATCATAACAACAAGGTCGTCCCCTTGTTGTCATGGTTGATTTCCTTCATTACATGCACTTGTTCTCATTAATTCCCATGCTATTGATCGCTGATAATGACACAACTTGTTTTAGGGTCTTTACCATCATCCATTTGATCGATCGATATGTCCTCTATATTTGAATCTCGATGGCTTTATCAAACATTACACATATTTGATGATGTGCTTCGGCATGGTAAAAAGCACTTCCCCTTTTGGAATCACTTGGATTGTCAATCACATACCTTGCCTCCATCCATTTGCAACATTGCTACATGCTCATGTGTATGCTTCCTTTAGATAGACGTGGACTAACAACAAAATCAAGGCGGCGAGTATCCAACATTTATTGTGCAGCAGCAACGCTCTTTGATTGTGATTCTGTAATGGCATCTACGTCTTCTGGTATCTTATCGGTGGCTGTAGGTTTGCCTGTTCGGCGAGCATAACGCATCAAAGTCACCATGGCCGCAGGGGTGATGCCTTCTATCCGCTTTGCAGCACCCTATTATCATCGATTAGACCAAGTAGATTTTCCAAATGATGGGATGTTACTTACCAAAGTTTCTGGTCGCACCATAGAAAGCTTATGTCTCACTTCATGGGATAATTGGGTCATTCTACACGGCTTCTTGTGAATATCTCCATGCTTCACTTTCCCAGTCTCATACACTTACGACGAATAATCCAAATTAATGTCCAGCTTGAGATTTTCATCACGTTTCAGAGCGGCTACTTCAGCTGTTTGGCGCTTCAAATACGGCTTGTAGCGTCCTGATGTAAACATATCAGCCAAATGATCCATCATCAAAATGAAATGCCTTTCGATATACCTTCAATTATTACACGCTCTTGGAGTCGAGGATCAAGGTGCTTCAAAGAGGGGATGGTGTCATATAGCTGTTGCAGATCGACATTGGGGTTCATCAAGAGCTCCATAGCACTGTATAATGTGTTTGGTGAGTAAAGTCGTTGCATTTCCTTTATTGCCAAAAAGGTAGCTTACCTCTTTAATGCACCGTTATCGTTTGCTCGTGAATTCTTTAGAGTGACACCTTGCTTGGCCCATGCTTTTGGTGACATGCGTACTTGTTCTGCTTCCTCAATGGCTGACTCGAGAGCAGCTGCATCACTGGTAAACTTTTCCCATCGCTTGGTAGAAACAACACCCGCCTCGTATCCTTTTGCATGATGTTAGCCATACAAAATCCCTTTCCATGTAATCCAATGTATACGAACCTTTGCGAGTCAACCTTAAATCTGCATTATCGGAGCGAAGCAAGAGTCGATATTCTGATCGTGATGTAAATACGCGATAAGGCTCTTCCACACCCTTAGTGATAAGGTCGTCAATGAGTACACCGATATATGCATCCGAGCGATCAAGAACAAAAGGTTGTTTTCCCAAAGCGTGTAAACCTGCATTGATGCCAGCAACAACACCTTGTGCTGCCGCTTCTTCATAGCCAGTGGTGCCATTGATTTGTCCAGCGAGGAATAGACCACCGATACGCTTGGTTTCAAGTGTCGAGCGCAATTCTCGTGGATCCACATAGTCGTATTCAACACCATAGCCTATAAATCAAATGATTGAGTATCATGTCAACATGTTCGATCATTGATCTTTTACCTGGTTGAACCATGTCTACGTTCTCAAGACCAGCAACCATCCTCAGAAATTTGAGCTGAATATCTTCAGGCATGGTGTTGGAGATGCCATTGGGGTATACGAGATGCGTATCAAGACCTTCTGGTTCAAGCCAAATTGTGTGTCCCTGCTTGTCCCGAAATCGTTTGATCTTGCTTTCCAGTGATGGACAATATCTACCGATATCATATCCATTAGTCTCATTGATCCATCACACGATCTAAAAGGATTACCTAGGTCCTTTGATTGTCTCCCGGATGTGGACACTCATATGAAAATGATCTTCGATATATTGATGCACCTTTGGATTGGTCCTTGTTTGATGACAAAGAATTTGTTGATCCTATAGAGAGGCATTGAGCACAACACTCCCGATATTTTACCCCTTGTTTTGTACTTACTGCATATGGCACGGTGTGATGTAAGAATGAAAATGGTGAAGGTGGATCATCACCCCGTTGCTCTTCCAATCCTTGATAGTTGATTGTTCGTCCATCCAATCTTGGTGGTGTTCCTGACAATAAAAGAACGTAAGTTTCTATTGGTTTGACCCATGCATCATCATCATCCTCAACCCACCTGTCTTTAATCTCGCCAATTTGAAACCAGCTTGTCGTAACGAATTGGATAATCCGATCGAAGGATTTTCACCCATACGCCCGGCTGGCCAGACTTTGAGTCCCAAGTGAATCTCACCTCCCAGAAAAGTGCCAGTTGTGATCACAATGTTAGGTGCTCTGATTATTTGTCCATTGTCTAAAAAGATATTTGTTGATGTCAATAAAAGAGATGTCATTGTATTCATGCACACACACACACACAACTCCTTGCCACCCTTCCATGTGGTTCATTATTTGAGTCTTACCTAGCTTGATGCCTTGTACAGCAGCAAGAGCACCTTTCTCCTGAATAGATTGATGTTCTTTGTCGGTGTCTCCTTTTGTCATGACCAAATCAGCTACGCTTCCCGCCTTGATAGTGAGATTGGGATATGTCTTGAGATAATCTTGAAGATGACGCTTGTATAGCTTTCGATCAATTTGAGCTCGCGGGCCCTAAAATGATGCTCCAATGTCAGCGCTGACAACATACACACACATCCCTCTCAATAAACTTACATAGACAGCAGGCCCCTTGGACCGATTGAGCACTTTGAATTGAACCCCGGAAAGATCTTTGGAGATTTGTTAGTCAACACAAAAGGGAAAAAACGAAGAACAAATAATGCAAACAAATAGGTACCAGATATACGGCCACAAACACCATCCAATGCATCCACCTCTCGAACAAGCACTCCTTTGCCTACACCACCAAACGAAGGATTACAAGACATCTCGCCTATATAGTTTTATCAGATATAAACGTTCATTCAACCAACTCTTCGTTGCCCATTTACCGATCGTGTCTGTGTTTTGTGTAATGAGAAGTGTCCGTGCACCGACTCTGGCTGCAGCTGTACAAGCTTCGGTACCAGCATGGCCGCCACCAATGACAATGACGTCAAAGTCGTGGGTTGGAGAAGCTGCTCTTGTTGCTATTGATCGAGCGTATTGGCGTCGTGTCAACAATCGGATCGATCGGTGCATGAGGGTAAAGACTTGGAAGGGAGCGGGGAAAGGAAGGAGTCACGGTGACACCTCGTGTAGCAAGTGAATGTGTGTGTGTGTGTGGGAGTATGCCTGTGACATTATCTTCTTGGCGAAAGTAGTACTACTCCTCCTCCTCCTCCTCCCCTCCCTTTATTCAACATGAAGTGCAGCATTCGTGAATACCAGCCGAGCGATCAGGATGCAGTGCGCAAACTCTACCTTGAACAAAGCCAACGTACTGAACGACAACGCGTAGTCAGCAGTGTTATTCGGCATTCAACAGCACGACGTTCTTGGCAAGCTGGCATCGTTGGCATTTTGAGCCTTCAATTGACGCCCATGTTGACCCACCGAGCAGCGGTGATTGCTATGGCGTTATGGAGTGCTGGGATAGGATTGACATGGTTCTTTTGGATACGAGAACAAGATCGACGACGAGCGTTTGAAGATAGTCAACGGATAGCGAATCATTTGGCGACGCTTCATGAGCAGCAGCAAGAAGGATACAACAGAGTGTGGGTGATGATGCAAGACAATACTCAGGGACTTGTTGGAGCAGTAGGACTTGAATACGTCTATGAAGAGGGCGAGGGGAGGATATGGAATCTGACAGGTGTCGAGTCGCGAATCCAACTGGCTCTGGTTCAGAAAGTGATCCAATTTGCCCGACAAAGTGATATCTCTGTGCTTGTCGAGATGAAGCAAAGCATCCCCGAGACAGTCAGCTCTTGAACCATCTTCTAGTTCATTTACAAAGGGCGGGCTATTTATTGTTTGATGACACCTACATCCAACCTTGTTTTTATTTGTCTTTTATCAACAATCATTTTACACTTACATCACTTTGTCCTTCTTCTCATCCTTCATCGTCCATCATTCTATCTCCCTTCATCCTTCCTCTCTCTATCTCTATCTCTCTCTTTCTCTCTTTCTCGGTTCTCTTTCTCATGTCAACAAGTCCTTCCTTTATTCATCATCATCACCCATTACATCATTTGTTTTCGCCAACTACTCTCAAGCATGATCTCTCTTACGTCGACAAGACTTACTATCCATCCACCAACAACAACAGCAACAACAACAGCACTCACCCCGCATCATCCATAAGTCACCATAACAACAACAACGGCAACAGCAGCAACAGCAGTAATGATGATGATTCAAAGATCATGATGACCAATGAAAAGACACAGCTCTCGATTACTCGAATGCATGACTTGGTATTTAATCGTGCTCTTGGTATGATAAGTACGGTTTCTCGACTTGATTTGTAAGTAGACCACTTTTATACATTGTGAATAGCGTTTGACAAGTGTGATCTGTTGTAGGCAAAATGTGGGGTTATTCTCGCTTCCCGAACAAATTGCGACCCTGAGCAGATTGACGGTACTTGATCTTTCACACAATTGCCTCGAGACACTTCCAACAGCACTCAAGCATCTCAAACATCTTCGTCAACTTAATGTCGCTCATAATCGATTGCATCATACGCCCGATATCCTCGCCAATCTCCACAAGTTGACATGGTTGGACCTTTCTCACAACTCCGTTCGAGACTTGACATCAGATCTATCACGCTTAGAACGCTTGACATGGTTGGATTTATCGCATTGTACCCGTCTCGATGCCATCCCTGCCGAATTGTTAAGTTTGCCTCATGTCACCATCAAAACGGAAGGCTGCTCAAGGATGCAACGACGTATAAGCAAATTTCAGCATTCTCTGGCACACAATCCTCCAAGTCTAGTGGAAATATGTGCTCGACATGTCAAGAAACAGCAACAACAGCAACAACAGCATCCAACGCTGGTGACAAATCGAGGCAACAAATCACGCTTACAATTGCTATTACGACTACGTCAACGATTATCATCCAGTAGCAGACGACATGTCAAATTAGGGAAATCAAAAGGGGAAATGGAACAGCAACAACAACAAGAGCCATCACAGGATTATTCAATGATGCCTGCTCATTTATCACAATATCTAAGCCGAGACAAGGCGTGCTTTTACTGTGGAGGACCCTACTTTGACAGCCCTGTTATTCGATATCGCATCATTCTTCATCAAGATGGAAACTATATCCCCGTTAAATACAATCTATGTGCAGCCCATTGGAGTAGCGATACGGATCGTGTATTGGCCCTATTTTCACATCCATCCTTGTAAGGAGTAACATTATTATTATACCAATTAATATAGTAGCGAATGCGCGTAATAAAAGGCATATTGGAAAAGAGATTACCACGACATGTAGATGAGATCCAGCATCTCGGTCGCATAGATCTGGAATATAAAATCCAAGCTGCTGGTCATGATCCTCTTTTTGTATATCAAGGCACCACATGATAAGCACTCTTTTGTAAGACTCGGTCCCACCCAGAGATTTGGACAAGTAAAAGTAGCCCAATAAACAATAACCCCGCATACTCGACCTTTTTTTTTGTGATCAGCATGATGATAAGACCTTTTTTGGGGGTGAAGGGTTGATTTACGATAGCAGGTTAGTAGTATTAAGCTTATCACCTTTTCTATAGTGTCCAAGGTGATGTGCGTGGGTGTGTGGATGTGTGTCTATGATTACACAAAACTCTAGATAAAGGTGTAACGCATTGACCCAAGAGGGGCAAGATGTCAATAGACTTGAAAAGGGTTGGGTGTTTGGCTACACACAATGACATGACTGCGCCATATTATATGGGCTATAACCAACGACGCAGCAATCTCCCCAAAAGTCAAGTAGCGGCACACATCACTCTCTCGCTTTTTCTTTTCCGATCCTTCTTGATTAGGTATGTAAATAACTCACACATAAAAGGGAATGAAATGCTAGGTCATCACGCGCGCTGCTTTTAATGGCAAAACCACCTTGGGGTTTGCTTTGTGTTTACTGTTACAGAATGGAATCCACACTCTTTTCCGGTGCACGGGCCTGCGGACCTTTTAAGCTGTCCCGTGTCATCACTCGAGTACAAGAAAAAAGAGAAAGACTTTAGGTTATGTATCACGGTTACACGAGGTAAGCCATTTTTATCTGTACAGTGCTAGCAGGAAAAAACAAAGAGTATGGTACAATGAGTGTGTCAAGCAATAGACAAAAAAAGACGAGGGGGAGAAAAAGAATCTACACTACGGGGAGAGAAGAAAACTTATGTATAAAGGAATTGGGTGGTGGTGGTGGTGGAGTAGCATCATATTATAGCCATAGAGAAGATGTTGCATGGTACAAACAAAACAAAACATAAGGGCATCATGTATGCCAAAAACAGAAAGGCAAAGAAAAAAAGCAAACATACATAAGGTGCGTTGGAGATGTGAAAGAAAGAATTCGTGTACGCGAAAAAACGAGAGCTTGAGCGAGTAAGAGCGAGGTGGTGACCGAGAAAGAAGTAAAAGAGAGAAAGCTTAAAAGGTGTAAAACTTGCCAGTGCGATAAACAACGCCATCGCCACGAACAAGAAGGATGGGCAACTTGCGAGAACCATTTTCTTCATCCACCGTGATAACAGGGCTTCGAACAAGTTCACTGAGATCGGGTATGGAGCAAGAGATGGATTCACGAGAGCGATAATCAGTGCGAGGACATTTTACATCGCCAAACCATACAGCCAAATCACGAGTGAGGTTCTCGCCACTAATGGAAAGTGAATCGCCGCCAGCGGCTGAAGATTGTGGGATATGAGAAATCACAGGGAAAGGTGTAATAGGCGATGCTGCTGCAGCTGCTGCTGATGGTGGTATGCTTGTGCTTGTGAAGGGTGAATTGAAAGTGGCATCACTGGTAGCAGTATCAAGCATAGGAGGGGGTGTCCAAAAAGTGTAGGTTGCACAATCGGTGCCAACGATGGTCCATACAGCAGCATCAGAAACATCTTCGGTCCAACAAGCACCATCCGAAAGATTGCTGTTGCTATCGGTACTACCACGACGATCAAGTAATGCGCTTGTTGATCCACGTCTATGGTGCAAAGCAGGCACATCATTGAGAGAGTTGACACGACGACGATGTTGAGACATGTTTTGCAACTTGGCAGGCAATGACATGGGCTTGACCACATCGCATGATACACGCCGTTTACGCACCACTTTGCCGCCACGATCACTTTCTCTGGCCACCATAAAGTCACCATTGTTACCCATCATTTGGCCCATCATCCAATCCTTGGCTGCTGCAGGATTTCGTTGTGACACAAACATGCGTTGGGTAGTTGTCTTGTGCATACCAACCACATCATTGAGACATGCAAGATAGGTGATAGGTTGACACGATTGAGGTAGAGTCCACTCGTTAGCCATAGCGGAAGGATCCATAGTGTGTGGATGGAAACCAGCCTTGTTGCTGTGAGCAATGGATGGATCTTGTACAATTTGGAAAGCAATCTTGTGGAGTTGGGATACAGGATCACCCAAAGCTTCGTCACCACATTCACCTCCCGTAGTACCAGAAAGATCATCAAGATGGTTGCCACCAAGGACCATTGAACCCTTGTCAACTTTACGAATCACCATAACAGGGCTAACAAGACCAGTGGAAACGCATTGCAAAACGACCGCTTGGTTGTAATGAATAGCAAGTGGGTGTTGTGCAGGGTCCGTTTGCAAAGCAATAGCAGGTGGTGGTGGATAATTGGGATTGTTTGGATGATGCTTGCGAGAGGTAGTTGCCGTCATATCAGGTGCACGAGATGTATCCACAATCCAAATCACAAATGGATCCCAAGACCCAGTACGTGCCACAAAGCATGTTCCATTGCCTGGTGTTGCGCCTTTGCCACCTTGTTGTTGTTCACTAGTAGACACGCCCAAGTACTTGGTCGACACCGTTTGTGAACGAATGCGATTGAATAATGAAATTGTGGTGCCATGATGAATACACACTAGTAGTAAAAATGTCAGCATGTTGTCTTTTTTTTCCTTATCCTACCAGGGGGGGGCGCCGCCCAGCAGGTACTACTTACATTCCATATTCTTCACGCTTTGTCTTTTCTTGCTAGGTTTGCTAATGACCTTGATGCCTTTGGAAGCAAGGGTGCCAAGCTGCAAACCATTGCCAAGTTGCATCTTGACGAGGACTTCGACACGCTTACGCTTTTCGTCAGCATCGTTAATGTGCAGATGTTTTGATACACATTTTCCCGACAAGGTTGTGTCACTCGACATGGCTGCATTGCTTGCTGCTGATGCTGCTGATGAAGCATCCAAAATAGAGCCGTTGGGAGCATGCCATTCCACCACACCCGATTGGCTTGTTGTCTCGCCTGAAATATGTACAGTCAACTTTGGTGGGCTCAACGTTGTGCTTGTAGCAGCAGCATTGCTATGGTGATGCAAAAAGCTGTTGTCCTTGTCATTGCCAACGGTTGAAGGGTCACTTGTCCACCATGATGCACCCGATAACACCGTAGTAGGAGGAGGGCACAAGAATCTGTTGGTTTGTTGTTGTCGTGCATGAGTCACGCATATTCCTCAATACATGTAATGGGTTTTTTACTCTTACCTTTTTTCAGTGCCATAGCTCTTTTGAGCAACTTTGCTGGTCAAAATCATCACCGTACGTTCACCCGAGCCTGCTGGATTGCTGCTCATCAAGTATTGTTGAATGTGGGGCTTGAGTACAGAGGCTGTGTTGGCACCTTGCAACATGCGTGCAGTCACTAAGCTGCTCTTGGATGCACGAAAACGTTGTTGCTGCTCAGCAGTCCAAGTTGCCATGGAAGCCACATTTTGACGATCAATGGCCATTTCCTCGTCCTCCTCTGGAATCGTAGCATGTTGAAGTTGTGGCTGCTTGAATCCATTGTCATATCCATTACCATAGCCAGGTTGCATAGGGGTGATAGGAGGTGATGGGGATGATGATGACATGGTCGATGTGTTGGAAGGTGAACCAGGTGGTGATGATCGCATACAGCTACTGCGTTGTGATTGCTTTTGGTGGTAAACAGGCTCTTGATGATGATGATGATGTTGTTGTTGTTGCTGATGATTCATCATCCAAGGTGTAACACCAGCATGCATATCGCTATTGGAAATGGCTGATGGTGCAATGGTAGCTTCCGTAGCTGCGTGCGTGGTGACGGCATGGTGCTGTAACAAAAAGTCATGATGATTGGATGATGCAGGTGCTGATGAGGAAATTGGCATCATTGGCTGCTGTTGTTGATCTGGAGTGGACGTGAACGGCATTGGTGGTGTAAATGATGCATTTGGATCACCCGATAACAAAAACGAGGTATTCTTATCTTCATCCGAATACAACGCCTCAAGAAAACCAGGTGAGAAAAATGCTGGTGTGCTTGGTGACGCTACACCTGTTGACTCATGCTGCATTGGAAGCGATGTCTCAAGACGCAAAGATGCTGTTCGCTTGTGTGTAGCTTGTTGTGGCATGACAGGATCCGAAACACCTGAAGTTGTCACTGTATCGGTGCTTGTACCACTTGATGTTGATGGTGAGCAAGATGATGGCATAGCCAACAAACGTTGCATCTCATTGTCAAAATGCTGCATGTCAAAAGTATTGCGTGTTGCGTCAAAAGAATGGAAGTCAAGTTCACCAACAGCAACTGAGTGACGACGAGAAGCGGAACCAGAGGTTGGCAAGTGAGTGGTTGTGGTGTCAAAATTATAAAAGTCAAATGAGTGGTCAAATTGATTTGCACCATGTGCTGCAAACATGGCATCCAAGTTGTTCAAATCCAAAGCTTGTGCTGATGATGTTGCTGTTGCAAATGATGTTGTATCCACCGCCATAGCGTCACCATGTTGATGTTGCATTCCAAGTGTAGTCGCTGGTGAGCTTGGTGATGAGCATACATAGTCTGACCACAGCGATGATGTTTTAGAAGTCGCATCCGAGGCATAGTCCTGCTTCCTCTTTCGCGACATAGGCTTCTCAGCATTGAATGTCGATGTTTCAACGGAAGCGGCCATGAATGTTTTGTATTTGTTAAACAAGGAGAATCGCCAGCGATGTGGAGAAAAGAGTAACAAGAAGAGAAAAAGCGGGGAAAACAGCATCCACGCAAAGGCCTTTTTAAACAAGGTGAGTTACACAAGCGTTGCCACTAGCGGTGGAAGGTTTGGGATACCGCCGGTACAAATGATTGAGCGACCCCACATTGTCGTTAACCAATCACAGCATCACCCACCTAGTTGTATAGTACTTTTTGCTGCTGGATGGCAACCGGTTCTTCTTGTCCCTTTACTCCTCCCCCCACCTTTTCTTTCCAAATGAGACACACATGATCCAAACGAGTAAAACATGCATTGCAGCATCTCACTTTGAATACTTTTTCTCCTTTATACCATCACCTGCGCCAAAAATTAGGCGGGCACAACTTGTGATAATGGGCCAACCTTATTGCAATGCAACGAGCTCACATGACGCACCCCCCCTTCTCAGCTGACGGGCTCAATCGCAAGGACAAGCCGAGTGGTAGCACAGCCTCAACAGCGATGCATTTGGAAAGGAAATGTGAAACAGCAACTCGATGGTAGCACAAATCATCTTTTGCAAAGCGAACTCTTTTTGCTATCGAGCCTATCGCCGCTTGGTTGCTGCTAGTGGATCGACATTGGTGATGATATGCTAGATACGTTCCTCGCTTTCTTGTTTATCCGATAAAGCGCCCATTTTGTGTGTGTATCCTTTGGTCAGATGTCGCAACTTGACACTCCCCCATCCTTCCTATCCGTAGAACAAACATGTCACATGCTACTATCTTTAGCTTCTTCTCTCCTTGTTCATTTTCTTCTCTCTCCTTCATGTTGATGCAATAATACCCATTCATACTTGCCCAAACCACTGTATGAAACCGATAAATGGCGCCGCTTTAACCAATGGTCCATAGCTGCTACCTTTAATGGACACTAGATTGTGTATGAGCGCACCAACGTAAGCGTCATGTCGTCATTGTACCCATATCCGGTCCTCATAACCGCGCCCTTTTTTGTTGACATGCACCATTGACATCTACATGTATCATCCTGCTATGTATGCATACGTTTATAAGAGTATATCCACAATAGATGTGGTAGGGGATAAAACAACAAGTAGATGTGGGTGTTCATTCGTTTGTTCAGCCATCGTTATATTTGTGCATGAAAACAACAGAGCATGCCACACACAAAAAAAAGTGTTTCAATTGCTGCAAACATAAAATGCTTTATCTCTCATTCGGCACGATCACATCAACAACGCCTACGTTGCTTTGAACAGGCTTTCTTTTGGTTTGCACATGTATACCACCACACCACATCATGCTGAGTAACATCTTGTCCCTCCCTACATCTCCCCCTTATTCTCCTTTTGTGTCACCCAACGACGTTTTTCTGTTCCAAGTTCCATCATGGAAAGTGTGTAAATCAATCACTCTACATTGTGATGGATGAGAATGATGCGGTGAATGAAAGATGGTGTTTAAGTAAGACCATAACGATGTTACAAGGAAAATGTTTGTTGGGGACAAGGGGTGTGTGTGCAAGTATACGCACACGCAAACTCTATGTGTATGTGGTGTGGTGTGGATGAGCCATCATCAATAATAATAATACCTCTTTACGTCATTTCACCTTGCATTCTTTTACGCTTTGCATATTGGCGGGTCAGGTACCCCCGGCCGCAACTCGCACATGCCCATACATATTGCTTCCATGTGGCGTGTACGTACGTACACGTGCGTGAATGTATCATAAAGGGGGTTGAATAAATGGGTGCGGGCAAACAAAAACGAAGACCCTGTTCGTTAGGATTAATAACGGAGGGTATTATGCTTCGACTTTCAAGGGGGGGATTATAGTCCATATGCAGATAGCCCGCGTAAAACTGGCTTGATGTGCATCAGCATATGTGCGATTCCCGCCCAAATATTACAACGATGATATGCACAAACTAAAATGGTGATCTCCATCATTCTATCTCAAGAAGGACCCACAACACTCCAAATGACGAACGAGGCATTGGGATTTACTGATCGTAGCACATTGACTCATCAATGGCAAATAAAGACCATGCTACACGAGAGGCGTGTGTGGTATATCCATATAACAGGGCATTGTAGATCTAATACTTGAATCGAGCTAAACTGCGATAGGCAAGTGAGCCTTAATTCAAGTTGCCGTTAAAAGTATGCAAGTCAATCATAACCTATCAACGCCATTATTTTTATTCTTGTGTGGGGGAGAATGGATCTATCGGACCATAGCAATTGCTCTTTTGTAAATTAGACACTATATACAAAACGGGAATAAAAGATGTGGGGGGAGGGGGGCAAAAGCTGTATTTTGGCGCACGGCGCGCAGTTAAGGGGGAGACGGCGGGGGAAGATAAGAAGAAAAAGACACTTGAGGATCTGAGACAAAAGGGCGGCCTTGGCAGAGACATCCTTTTCACTCCCTCACCCAGCCATTACCACCGACTGCAACTAAAACAAACCCCTGTGATGAGTGATGGCACATGCACATGTTTCTGTATATACGTACCAAGGTAATAATGGTATTGATGGAATGATTGATACGATCATCGCCAAGCATAAAGGAATATCGAATTCGACGTCTTGGATCCAGGATAAAAGCGGCCCGTTTTGCTGATCCATTTGCTGCATCCAACACATTAAAGTAACGAGAAACGGATCTTGTTATGTCTGATACTGCATTGGGGGATATCAAAAGGGAAATTCAATCATCATGCGGTCTCATATGGATGCACCAATCACCTCCTTTCCATTCCTTTCATACTTACAAAGTGGATAGCCCACATTACAGGTGTCTTGCATGCTCTCTATCGGTGCCGTCGACATTGCCAGGGGGAGTGTTTGCAAGGCTTCAAGACGATCAAGATGGTTGCTGTGATACACGTTAGGTTAGCTTTTGGCGTGTGGTTCGTGTAATGTTCTCTTCTCTTCCTTGTTACCTGATTAAATCCAGATCCATTTGCACACGCGGATCAATCCTATTTAGTGGGATGGTCAAATCAACAAGCTTGGTCATATAAATAACGCTGATGCAACATACGTACAGATTGCTACCAATAAAGAAGAGTACAAGAGCTTTGTGGTTTGTAGCGTATGACGATAATTGGAATCGATTGATCTCTCCACCCTTCACCACAGCGGAACAATTGAAATCTGGTGCGACCATAGCCGTATTGTCCCTGATCAGCAGTGGATTCCACCCAATGTCACCAATGGGCTCAATGGCAGTGTCATGTCGTGTTCGTTTGCTGACAGGATCCTCAAAGATCTCATTGTGTTTGGACATTGGCAACAAATAGAAAGAGAAGAGCAGGCCACCTGTTTCCGTGACTTGCCGCGTGTGTGCATAGGCGCCTTCTTGATGAGGTCAAAAAGTAGGAGTACATAGTAGAAGTGCATGATTGAAAGATGTCGCTCTTTGTTTGTAATAAATCCATTTCACTCTATCACGCTTGCTATGCGTATGTGGATACGGGGTGTTATTGTGGGGGTGATGGGGGGGGGGTTGAAATACCATACCAACGACAACATGATCAACGCGGCAATGGTGGTGATGGTGTGTGGGTGCCCTGGAAACCAAGGTGCCACAATGTGGGGAAGTCAAAAAAAGTGAATGATATTGGTCATGTCGTGCGCACTCATTTTGCGTAACTTTGATATGCGAGTCAAAAAGTGAACATGGTGCATTGGCCGCGGTTACTTGCCATTATCGGCACAAGTCATCAGCCCCATCCACATTTTGGCTCTATGGTGGGCGTCAAAACAACTACGCTTGTTTTGTTTGTGCAAGCCATAAGACCAGCCTATCCTGCATCTATCGCCATTGACTCGGGATAATGTACACATCTTAAGAGAACAACGTATCACCTTGATTTACAAGCAATTATGCAATCATGACTTGCAACGTATTCCGGGCACGTTGTGTTTCACCTACGTGCTTGAACGTTGAAGCTTTAAAACGAAACCAGGGATATACATAGCCAGTAATAGATATTTCATCCTGATCGCCATGGGATTATTCATCGTAGCGTATACTTTGGACATCACAGCATGCTTATGTGATCCACGTCACTACGCCCAAAGCTTGTCGCAGCATCATCATGTGAGTTAGACAGGGTTTGCTTGCGTGTACAGTGAGCGTATTACAATGTGCCACCCTTCTGCAATAAAGCCTCTTATGTTTTTGTGTGCCAAAGGAGGCGTCTACAGTGATGTCATTGGATGTGGAATGTCTCTGCACGGTAGTAGGAGAAGTCTTCAGACCGATCTACGGTACCTGATCCCTCCTTGTGTTACTTTGGTCGTCATAAGACGAGCATCGATTTCTTTGTTATCATTCAAGGAGGCATGACAAAGCATCCTCGTTATCCGCACAATGATCAAAATTCTGTATACCATATCCATCTCCATGTTGATCAATGCTCCATCCATCAACTTGCCATTTTCGAAGGTTGGCCGGATGAGCCCAATGTCATTGGTGTATACTACCTGCATGAATACATCATGCAGCAAATCCCACACGCTTCCTTTTGCGTAAAGTCACGGCTATCAAGAAGGATAGCTCTTGCTTGGCAACATGTTTAATCCACTTTTTTCAGCCACATTGCTTTGGCACTCGGCGCTAAACCATCTACAAGTCAATCAACCGAAAGGAGTTGAAAGACGCATAATACAACATCCCCGGGTCAGGCCCTTTCTCATTATGCGGATCACCATCTGCCAAATTTAGAAAAGTGTCCATAGCTGGACATTTCATTGTGTATGTACGTAATAGCTGCTGCTTCATTCATAAGCCTACATAGCACGCTCCTTAATCAAAAGGTGTACCATGCCTTCGTTTAGTAGAAAGCTGATTCATTATAAGCTATACAGTATTACAGACGTCATTATCCTACATACAATGATGCAAAAGTTGGGCTTGTGGATTGATTTCTAAAAAGCGCAAATTTATTATGATGGGGTTCTTTATTATTGGTCGTCTGCAAAGGTAACAAGGCTTTGGTTTTCTTCTACAAGATCACCGACATTATAAAGAACCTCGCTAATAGTACCAGTAGCAGGTGCCTTGATGACGTGCTCCATCTTCATTGCTTCCAAGACAATCAAAGTTTGGCCCTTTTCAATGGTTTGACCAGGTGTTACCAGTACCTGAGAAATCTTGCATGGCATGGGGGTCTTGACAGATCCTGCACTATCAGCACCCTTTGCACTGGCAACAATGTATGCAGGAGTAGCCAAATGAGCTTCGGTGCGACCGTGATCATCGAAAACGGTAAGCTGATCACCACGAAGGACAACGTTGCTCTTTGTCTTTTTGCCATCAATGCTGGAAACCAATTGGCCCTCCTCATCCCAATGGCTCTCTACGTCTGTAAACGACTTGATAGTCTCCTTGGTTGCATCATTCACCACTTGGATGTCGACCAAGCCAGCTTGTTTGCTAGGGGTAATTGTGATGCTGTATGGGTTCTCCTTGTCAACATTGAAAGTGAACTTTTGGCTATCCTTGGTGTTGACACGGAATGCTTGACGCAAGGATGTCCAAGGGCTGTGGGGATCTAGTGTTTCTTTTGGTAAACAAGATGCCGCATGGCTATTCTTATGTAGATAAAACATACCATTGGTATTGATTTGAACATCGGCAAGCTCCTTCAATCGAATGGCATTAGCTGCAACAGCGAGTGTCTCGGCATTGGGAGCACTGGGTGGTGGTAATAAATCCTTTTCAAATTGCTATACACGATACGATACGATCATTTAAGTCTTTGTGGATGATCCTCTATGTGCCTATTTTTACGTACCTGAATGAATCCAGTTTCCACTTCACCCTTGATAAACTCTGGATGGGAGGCTACACGCTTGATAAATTCAATGTTGGTGTGAGGGCCAACCACCTATGGATCATATACATAACAAAGTCAGCCATCCTTTTCATGCAACCCATGTTTAGTGAAATCTACCTGGTATTGCTCAAGGGCACGTCGGAAGCGTCTCAATGCGTCGTTACGATCTTGGCCATGAACAACAAGCTTGGCAATCATGGGATCATAGTGAACGGTAATTTGATCGCCTTGGATGAAACCAGTTTCAAGACGCACATCAGGTGATGCACCTGGGGTCTTTACGCTAAACAAGTTGCCTGTATCGGGCAAAAAGTGGCTATGTATTGCCCATAAGTAAATCAATAACGTACAATCCGATTCATTATCGATACTCACTTTGATGGGTTCTCAGCATAGATACGTGCTTCAAATGCATGTCCATGAAGCTTGAGTTGATCTTGGGTCATTGGCAAGGGATTACCAGCAGCGACCTATCATCATACACAAGGCCATTAGGTTCATGCTTTTTCCTCCCTGATGATATTTTTCATCCTTTTACTTACCTCAAGTTGCCATCGCACCAAATCGGTTTGGGTTACCATTTCAGTCACAGGATGTTCGACCTATATCCCAATTATGATAAGCATGGTGTTTTTTCTTTCAACCATCCATTTCCTTTGACATTACCTGCAAACGAGTGTTCATCTCCATAAAGTAAAATTGCTTATCGACATTATCCATAATAAACTCAACGGTACCAGCGTTTTCATATCCAACGGCGCGAGCAGCTGCTACAGCCTTTTCACCAAGCAAGTTTCGGATCTCAGATGTTAATCCAGGACCAGGAGCTTCCTCAACCACCTTTTGGTGACGTCGTTGCACAGAGCAATCACGCTCAAAGAGGTGAACACAATTGTCATGCTTGTCGGCAAATACTTGCACCTCAACATGGCGTGGTCGTTCAAGGTACTTCTCCACCAAGACCTTGTCGTCACCAAACGACTTGATGGATTCACGTTTGGATGATTCAAGCATTTCCTCAAATTCGGATGGAGACCATACGATACGCATACCCTTACCACCACCACCTTTGACAGCCTTAATCAATACAGGATAGCCAATTTTGGCTGCTTGCTCCTTAAGAAAGCCAACTTCTTGGTTTTCACCATGGTAACCAGGTACAACAGGGACGCCGGCGTCCTCCATGATATACTTGGATTCACTATAGATGTTGCCAAGTAAGCTCCCTTTTTCCCTTATCCACGTTAACAAGTGGATGATGTTACCTTTTTGATCCCATGGATCGCATAGCATCACCCGATGGACCAATAAATTCAAGCTTCTCGTCCTTGACACGATCAGCAAATTCAGCGTTCTCTGACAAGAAGCCGTAACCAGGATGAATGGCCTAATGAGGATGCCCCAATGTCAGCCCCCTTTTTTTCCATAGCATGCCTCTTTTCTCGTCGTACTTTACCTGTGCTCCTGTCATGCGTGCAACCTTCAAAATCTTATCGATGCTCAAATAGCTTTCAGCCGATGGAGGAGGGCCAATCAAAAAGGCTTCATCCGCCTAATAAAAACCCATGTGTGAATTGGATGATGAAGATGATGACGCTTATTTTGCTTACATACCATCTTTACGTGTTGTGCATTCATATCAGCTTCACTGTAAACAGCAACCGTCTTGATACCAAGATCCTTTGCAGTGCGCATCACGCGGCATGCAATTTCACCACTATCATAGTAATACGAGGAAGGTGAGATGTGCCATTACTCATCATTGCATGCATGTTGATATGCTTACCGATTAGCAATAAGGATCTTTTCGAACAATGGATTACGTGCTATGTATCAACGAGTACGTTAACGGACCATGTTGACGATGGCTATTGTTATCTTACTTGAGTAAAGCCTAAGGGGCATAGCACGAGCAGCCAGCGTATGCGTGGTGGAGGTTATGGTACAGACGCGTGCACGAAACATTGCAAACGATTTGTGTGGGTGAGGAGTGTGGTAGGATAGAAGAAAAAGAAAAAGAGGTGGGTGGGTAATGGGTAATCTTGTCCTTTCAATTTCACGAGTGCGGGGAAGTCGGACAGCCAAAAGCGTGGGAGCGTGGGAGAGCTTGCAGCCAACCACCTCGGACGATCCAATCCATCAACTTTTCCCTATCGATGTCGCCGCTGTTTTCTTTTCGTTCTCGTGTCTCACCATGTACTTATGCCCATTGTAGCAAAGATTGATACATGCTCTTCAATGCTCATTTTCATCTTTTCATCTTTCCATTACAATAGTCATCGAATAGCTGCATGATGGAAATAGAGCAATAGCGCATTGTGACAGCTTTCATGGTTATCATTCGGCAATGTGATAAATGATGTAGCAGATAACAACATGCGTGCGTGTAATAGATGCTATCCAAGGTGAAGAGAAATGTCATTTCATGGATCATGGCAACTGTAGTCAAGTAGTAACCATGGAGATGAAATCAAGCTTGCATACCTTGAAATGAATCCATGCATCATCACCACATGTCATTACATAAGCTTGATAACAGAATGAAAATGGCACATGTGGTGGGTGTGTTGGGTGAAGTGATTGCTCCAAAGGGCGGTGCCTGATCCGTGTGAAAATGCAGCGAGTGCGGTGCTACAAGCTGCATGAGAGCGAGTGGCGTCTACGCAAAGCCACCAAGAGCAAAAGATTTTTCTTGAGCGCGTTGCTGAGGAAACCTTTGTTCCTCCTCTTTCACTTTTCATCCATTTCTCTCTTCATCCATCCATCTTAATCATGGTAAGTAAAGGATCTTGTTCTTGATTTTTCTTTTTGATGCATTTGCATCCGATGGCACTTGTTGCCTTATCCACCTCTCGCTCTTTGCGCACTTGACTTGATTCAAGGAATGCCGAGTGATGTGTGTATCTTCTCTCTCTCTCCATATGCTACATATGGGCTGAGTCGTGTGTTGTTCTTTTCCTTTAAGGATTTGAATAGCCTCGACTGTTAGAGTGTTGTTTAATCAGAGTTGTGAATTTGAAAGAATTTGAATCTGATCAAACTTTTTATACACTCAATGACAGCCTCCCGCAAAAAAGTCCACTGGCAAGAAGGTTGCTCCTGCTCCTTACCCCATCAAGAAGACCTCTCAAAAGACTGGCAAAGGCAACCCTCTCCTTGAGAGCACTCCTCGTAACCATGGTATCGGTCAACACATCCAGCCCAAGCGTGATGTCTCTCGCTTCGTCAAGTGGCCCGCTTACATTCGTCTTCAACGCCAAAAGCGTATCCTTTGGACTCGTCTCAAGGTTCCTCCTGCCATCAATCAATTCACTCACACCTTGGATGCCAACACCTCTGCTCAGCTTTTGAAGCTTGCTGAAAAGTACCGTCCCGAGTCTAAGGCTGAGAAGCGTTCCCGTCTTCGTGCTTTGGCTGAGGCTAAGGCTAACAAGAAGGAGGCTCCCAAGACCGATAAGCCCATTGTTGTCAAGTATGGTTTGAACCATGTCACTTCCTTGATTGAAAACAAAAAGGTCCAACTCGTTGCCATTGCTTCGGATGTCGACCCTGTTGAATTGGTCCTTTGGTTGCCTGCTCTTTGCCGCAAGATGGGTGTCCCTTACTGCATCGTCCGCAACAAGTCTCGTCTTGGCCAAGTTGTCCACAAGAAGACTGCCACTGTTCTTGCCTTCACTGAAGTTAAGGATGCCGATAAGGCTGAACTTGCTTCCCTTGTCTCCGCTGTCAAGGCTAACTACAATGACAAGTGGGAAGAACACCGCAAGCAATGGGGTGGTGGTATCAACGGCGTCAAGTCCCAAGCCAAGATGGCTAAGCGTGCTGCCGCTGCTGCTAAGGAACTTGCTGCTCGTCAGTAAATGTTCCCTATATCCATGGAGAGAGAGAGAGAAGAAGAAGAATGTATCTTGTTTGCTCGTGTTGCAAATAAAGTGAAAAAGTGTCATCCTTGCTTTTGTATATAGTTATTCATTTTGCATCCCAATAAACATTTCGTAATCCACTTGACGCTGTTACGTTGCCATTTTTTTTCTCATTGTATGATGCATGTTCTTATATTATTGAAGTTGTGAGGATTGTGCTCTATATACACGAGTGCGTTGGATGGGTTGAGTAAAGTAAAGGTGGGTAGCAATGGAATGTGGAGGGGGTATTAAGCTTGATTTTCTTGATCCTTATTGGGGTTGCTATCTTTGGAACCAGCACTCCAACAACCTGGACAATTGTGAAGAACCTCATGGATAAAGATATCGCAATCGGGGCAAAACTCGTGTTTGCATTTAGGACATGCGTATGCGCTTGTTCCTGCAGCAGCCGTTCCAGCATCTTTATCAAATGCCACGAGACATGAAAAACAATGCGTATGGTGTAATGCGCTATGTATATCAAAATGTGAGTCGATTGTTGTTGATTCCCTCATTAATCCAATTACCTTAAACGGACTTCGTCAAAGTTATCCACGGGAAACAAATGATGGTACGATCGAGCAAGATGTGGGGAGGAAACCAAAGTCATACCACAAATGTCACAGTCGCTTGGGAGATCGCATACTTTGGATCCACATCGTGGACATATATAGCCAACGGTCGTTAAACGTGAATGACTACACATTGTAGTTAGATATCCCATCCCATTACACATATTCATCCATCTTTGATCCAACAGCAGCATTCACTTACCATACGCAAAATGTGGCCTGACTCTCAGTGTGTCTCCTTGGAAATCCCATTTGGACCAAGTTGGATGCACTTCTATTGGGAGCTGTAGCTGGTGGAGGGATGGCTTCGAATAATAGATCCTTGTAATGCGCCTCATTCAATACCACACCATAGCTGCCTAAAGTAGTACACAATGAGCCATCCATCCAATGTAGCTTTCTTTTCCCACCCGTACATACCTTTGGTCATTTTACTCAATACACGGCATATTTGCACCTCTGCTGCTAAACCGACAATGTTGACTCGTACATTCTCCTTTTGTAACAAGCTGACGGTGTCGTGGATATTCGATGGATCACATGTCGTCAATGCTCCAAAGATGAGCAAGATCTCCTTGGAACCATGGCTTGGAACGCTCACCATACTCGATCGTGCCAGCTGCAATGCATTTTGTAATGATGGTTCACCACTCGTTTCAATGTTTTTGCGTGTATCAAGAGCTCGTGTGTGATCATTGGGGTTGCCGCTAAGCTCGGTTAACTTTTCTGCAATGCCATCGCGTGTAATGATGATGCCAAGTTGCGATATTGGGTTCTGATCGAAATATTCAATGACGAATTGCTTGGCGTAAGTTACTGTAAGTTCAACTCGACTCGGTCGCAAGTCTTTCTCGTTCATGGCTTCCGAGAGGTCAATGACGAGGAACATGTGTCGAATAATACCACGCTGAATGACGGCAGTATCCTTAAGAAGCCTATCCAAAGTATCAACACCATCGTCTTTGTGTTTCCAATCACGGTCTCCATACCTTCTCCGTTTCCGTTGCTGTTGTAATTGGGCGACTACGCTACTAAGACGACCCTCTTCATCCTCTTGAAGCACATCCCAGCTGCGCTTGTATTCTTCTTCCCAAGAGTAACCGCCCTTGCCAGCATCCTCATCTTGATTGCCGTCAAATGTGTCGTCAATGTCAATGTATTCGTCGTCGAGAGGTCGTCGTGTGCCCATGAGGAATAAATGTACAAAGTAGAGGATCGATCGATGACAATAAAGCAGTGGGTTGCCGCGTTGCAGGTACTCAAGCCTTACATATCCCTGTGTGACGGTCCCCAATACCCAGCTCCATTGATAGATTTGGACACCCAGCGTAGTACCCAATTCTTAAACCATGCATGCATAGAGTAGATTACATATGATAAGAGTCAATAAAGGAAGTTCATTGCCTGTCATTGATGATGATATCTACATGGGGAAAGCTCGAGAAAACTATTCTGATGGAGGAGGTAAAAGGGAATTCACACATTTCTTGAAATCATCCGTGTGCTCCGAGAGGTATTGTGGATCGTACAAGTATCGCAATAAAGTTCGTTGATCTTTCAGACTCTGTTTTGCCTCGATCGCCTTCTCCATTTCCATCGCTTTGACTTTGGCCACCTTTAAGACAGTATCCGGGAGTCCAGCCATACGCGCAACATTCAATCTTGTATGTTTGAACCATCAAAGTCAAAACCCAATGCTTCCTTCCACTGTAAACATGATGACACTTACCCATAGCTCTTCAAGCTAGTGCCCTCGACAAGTTTGTAAAGGAATACGACATCATCTAAAGTGGCAATAGTGTTTAGACGTTGAGCACAGATTATCCCACGTATACTTACCACCGTGTTCAATGAAGCTCATATGTCGATTTGCAGCTGAAGGAAAGATATCTGCCAGAAATGGATAATGGGTGACGAAAAGCGTGATGGATCGAACCTATAAGATCCTCCATGATTAATCTCGATATACATATGATCATGCTCAGAATCCATCCTCTTACACGAGTAATAAAGTGCTCAAGCACGGCATAGGCGATTGCCATTCCATCATGGGTGCTTGTGCCTCGGCCCAACTCATCCAAAATCACCAATGATCGTGGGGTTGCCTGCTTCATAATATCGCATGCTTCGTGTAATTCAACAAGGAATGTGCTTTCACCCTTTAGCATGTTGTCGAAAGCTCCCATTCTAGTAAATGAGTATGAGTCAATAAACCATAATGCGAGTTGATTCGTTAAGGATCATACCTAGTGTATACAGCATCCAAAATACCAAGGTGTGCAGAATCAGCAGGAACGTAGGAACCGATTTGCCCCATGATGGCTATCAATGCCACTTGCCGAATATATGAGCTCTTGCCTATCGTCAAAGATCATCTCAGTATAACGCCTTTTCTGATAGCTTCCAATACCTACCTCCCATGTTAGGCCCTGTCAAGATCATTGTGCTGATATCATCCGGCTACAAAGAAAAAAGAATACCTTAACACACATAATCATTAGAATCGTCATGCACGTGAAGCTTACATCAAAGTCAACGTCATTGGCAACATAGGAATCGGATAGGAACTGCTCAACCATTGGATGTCTCCCATTGGTCACTTTTATCTGCGTATGCTCTGAAAATGTGGGCTTGACGTATTTGGGTCGCCGTGCAACCGTAGCAAGGGAAAGCAAGCAGTCGAGTTGGGCAAGGCTAAGCACAACATCACGAAATGTCTCATACTTGTCAGAAACCTCCCTAGATAGCGTCCTTTAGTGATCCAAAGACTTTGTGCACATCATTGATATCTCTACCTCAGGAATTCACGATATGCATTTTCTGCTGTAACCACCAATTGCTCCTTGTGACGCTCACGTTCTTTCAGCTTTTGTGTTGTGAAGGGTGTGTGGAATCGAGAAACCGCCTTAGTGCCGCTGATCTTGATCCACTCGCCAGGGACTTTTTTGATAAGCGTATTTTTGACTTCAAGCAAATACTATATGAGACATGTCAACTAATAGTACGATGAAATCCATAATACAATATACCTCAATGCCAGCCACGTGGACAAATTGAAGACCCGTGATCCCTGTGCTTTGTTTGACCTTTCTCAAGTACTCGTCTAATTCACTTTCAACCAAAGCAATGCTCTATTTTACTGGATCAGTGGCCCGCTAACTTTTACCCATCATATCTTATGATCCACAGCCTACCTCCTTTTGACGTAGTATTTCCGGCCATCGTTCTTCGGATCGAAACAAGTGAAGTTTGCAATCTGGCATGTCGATAGCATTCGCATTGATCATCCCTTGGAACGCCGTAACGTCATTGTATATCCGAGGAAGCGATCCAAAGAGCTGGTTCAAAAGACCCGATTCGAATTGAAAGCTTTCGGCATGTTGTATGTTGCTGAATGTATGTGATATCTTGGCTAATGCATTGAGAACTTGTAAAAGCTCAGAGGGAGAAGACTAGATGAGATGATTAGAGGCATGCACGTTTAAACCAATGACCCATCATACTAACCAAGCCATAGTGGATACGGGAAAGACCTTTCTCGAGATCAGGCATATGCTTCAACAAGTCTTCCACAGTGGGCTTCATCGGATTATCGGTTGTCAATAATTCTTCAATAGCATTGATACGCTCATTGAGTTGTCTGATTGAATAATACGTATAAATACAAGATCGTACGGCATACGTGAGCTACTTACTGTACATCCACAAGAGGTCGACCCACCCATTTACGCAATAATCGCTTCCCAAATCGTGTTTTTGTGTGGTTGAGTATCCAAAAGAGTGAACCTTTCTCCGTAAAGTCGGTGGAATTGCGATAAATCTCCAAATTTGCCAGTGTGTTGCCGTTCAATAACATGTGCGTTCGAGACGAGAAATGAACAAAGTATTTGGTGAGTTGCAATGCATGCTCCAAGCCGAATTCTTCAAGATAGCGCAATATAGATGCCAACGCTTTACTAATAGGACGATTAATACATAGCCAAGCATTCCTTCAATATGTGATGACTTACATTACTGGGTCAGGGAGATTCAAGATTTCTGAGAATCGTAGCTCTAAGGAGGATCATGTAAGTAACTGGATGTGCATGAAATGAATGATATGTATAGCCCTTACCATAGTTTTTCTCATGGTTGGATGGTTGGGTATAAAAGTTGGATACAAATGTGAATGCTGTATTGTAGTCTGAAGCGAATTTGTCGTTTTCCTCCATACGTTCAATGCGCACTGAATCACCGAAAACGGTAGGTCTATCATCAATCCATGAGTTATTGTATCGTCCTCACAGCCAATAATAGTAATTTACCTTTGACCACTCATATGACTTATCACTTTTTCGGTAGCTTTGCTGAGTGTGTGGGGTAATAGTAGCTCGCTTGGTTCAATGTGCAAAAGGCGTGTTTCCAGCTCTGATCGCATATAGCCATCTTCGAAAGAGTCATACATGATATCGCCTGTAGCAGGTTGAACAGCCTACCATACATACCATATCAATAAATCCAGTAGGGACATACCCAATGACCATCCATTACTTACCACCAAACCAATTTTGACGCGTTCGTCAACACCTCCTCCACCTCGTTTTTCTTCGACAATGCAAACCAGGTAGCTTGTAGAAGATTCCACTTTGGCTTCCTCATCCACTCCAACGGTATCCATCTCATCGACAAAGGTGCCTTTGGTATAAAGTTGCTTGAGCTCACGTTGAAAAGGGGCGCTTTTGTTCGATCCAACAGCTTTGAGAGCGGCTGTCTCGGTTTGTCGTACAACCCCGACCTTGTGTCCAGCATGCACCAACCTATCAATGCATCATCAATAAAGCGTGCGCAGTAAAATTGTATGCCATCCCAAAATTACCTTCGTACATGTACAGCTAATCGATGTGTTGGTATACTCGCCACCCAAAAGTTTCGATCCACAAAATGAGCGATATGCAATACACGTGACGCAATCTAGACAACAACAACAACAATGAACATGTCAATGGATGTCTCTTGGTCATTGTAATCCCCCCCCCCATTTATCCTTCATTACCTTAGCATCTTCACCAAAGAATCGAAACTTGTATCCTACTTCAATGGCTAAAAGCACACCGGGATGCTTCCGTTTGAGCTCGAGAACTTGTAGTTCCAGTGGTGAATATGCTTGTGGTGTGTCAACGCGTCGCCGTTTTGCTTCACGATCACGCTCCAGCTGTGCAAACTTCTCCACAAAACGTTCATGGCGTTTAGCTGCAGCTTCAGGATCACGTCTGGTGGGCATTCGAGGTGGACTTTTTGCTGGTGATCCTGAATTGGAAGGAGAGCTGTCAATGGGTAAAGAAGGCGACGACGACGAAGGCGGCGGCGTTGTGGTTTGTTCAGTCATGTCGTTGTTATTGTTGTTGGATTGTCGTGTCTCCACATTCTTGGGACGTTTCGCATTGGGAGCGTTGGTGTCTGTTTTTTTAGTGAAGAAGGAGCTCAATGTCAACTGGCGTTTGCTCATGTGGAATAATATAAAGGGAAATGGATTAATGCTGTGGTGGGTGTGTGCTCAGACACTCATTCATCCTCACCCAACCTATCAAAACGCCGCCTGAATCTTTTTTTTTCTCGTGCCTGCAGCTCTCTCTTTTTCTCTTTCATTCGATGACTCATTAGTTAAACACCTTCTTTTTCCACTCCTTGTCTCATATTCTCCATGGCAACATCACACGCTGAGCCTGTCACCGTCCAGAAATTTGCTATCCCTGCCCTCGCCAAGGATTTGATTGCTGGCACAGTGGGTGGTTGGGCCCAAGTGGTTGTTGGTAAGAAGAAAGAAAGATTATGACAAGGAAAACATTTCATTACCATGACGACGACTCACCCACATCCCATATTCAGGCCATCCATTTGATACGCTCAAAGTACGAATGCAAACACAACCATCACCTCCCATTTATCGCAACGCTATGGATTGCTTCCGAGCTCTTGTCAAACAAGACGGCGTAAGTTTCACATTGGAATTGATCCAGCTGTCCCTGAATTGTTGATAAGATTTCATCTCATTTACATACTCATCATCTCCAAACAGCCGAAAGGTCTCTATCGCGGTGTCACATCTCCACTTGCAGGCGTTGGTTTCTGGTAAATCCATTAATGTTGACTATGTTGATAGCCTATGCTCATTACCTTTCATTATAGCAATGCTGTGGTGTTCATGTCGAACGGCTACTTTAGACGCATGTTCCAATGGGGCGATGAAACCAAGGAGCTATCGCTGAGTAAGCAACGACAAAACAATGGGATACGTCTTTGTGGTACTGACTTGGGAGTATCAATGTAGTCGAGATTGGCATGGCAGGTGGTCTTGCAGGCACTGTGATGGCATTTTTCAATTGCCCAATCGAATTATTGAAAGTGAAACTTCAAGTACAAGACCCTGCTGGTGTCATCGGACCCACTGGCAAATTGGAGCCTGCCGTAAGTATTGCATAACCCAGGATCCTTTACATTGCAAGATACTTAGTCTGTTGTCATAGTATAAAGGTGTCCTCGATTGTGGTATTCGCACAGCTCGTGCACAAGGTATTCAAGGCTTATACCGTGGTCTCGGTGTCACTTTGTTGAGAGATTCTCCCAGCTATGTCAGCTATTTCAGTAAGGACATCTTTAACAACAACTTCTAATCATGGTCAACCTAACCGATATCTCTTCCAGTAACCTATGAAGGATTGAAGCGTATCATGCAAGCCTTGAAGAAGGATCCAAAAGAGGAATTATCCACCTTTGAATTATTGATGGCAGGTGGTCTCGCTGGCTTTGGTGCATGGATCCCAGCTTATCCTCAAGATGTAATCAAGAGCCGTTATCAGAATGATACCAGGTATGCACTACCCTTATATCGTATACAGCTGTATTTAGTGAAAAATTAGATATACCTCTGCACGTCAAGCCTTCCGCTCGGTGCTTCGAGAAGCTGGTGCCAAAGCTTTTGTTCAAGGCCTTGGTCCCACTATGGCTCGTGCTTTCCCTGCTAACGCTGCAACATTCTTCGCATTTGAAATGTCGATGAAAGCAATGTCCTAATTAAGTCCTTAATATAATGTAGATATAGAAAAAAAGTACGTTTATTATTAGGCCATTGATGTCCAAAAGAATATCATTTCTTTTCATCATAAACAACGCTTGATTACAATTACATCAATCCCGTCTGCTGTATAACATGATACTGTATGGACTTGTTTATTGAAGAATCAATTAGACAGCTGACACTGGTGGGGACATCTGAGACTAAATACAAAAGCATGCCATTCGAACCTGCTGCAAATCGGGAAATCCCTTCTTTGACACTACACAACGAAATGCTCCACAATTCAGCGACCCAAGGCGACAACGCAATGTCTCTTTTGAGCACCTATCTTTTGCAAGGATGGGTAAGCTTTAGAGTATACGCAGCCAATGGTCTACTAACCGTACCATGTAGGTCATGACAGACGAGCATTGTCGAGTACCTGATTGCCCAGTACCCATTATGCGATCAAAGGACGGATCGATCCGATTTTGCGTCACCCATGATACTCTTCCCACGGGTTCGTCAAAGTCAACAGCACCGGCCCAACCATCCCAATCACAACAGCAACAACCACAACGTCAGGAAGAAGAGGTGGTAGCAAAGGATCCATATGCTGCAAGTGGTCGCCGCTATGATGATGATGCCGCTCGTATTCAATTGGAAAGACGAGAACAATCCTCAAGAGCTTCTCAACTCATTGGTCAAAAGATGTTGCAACGTTGGACCTTATTGAATGAGACTTGTCCCAATCCAGAATGCTATGCTGTATGTATTGGTAATTAGGTTGGGTGGGATGGGATGGGATGAGGTGATTGATGATCGATCCATTATTAGGTACCTTTGATGCGGGACCTCTCCAAGCGTATGGTGTGCGTCATTTGTGAGCGAACTTATTTGACAGAAGAACAAGCAGCTGAGGCAGGTGCGAATATTAAGCAACAAGAGCAATCAACACCAGCAGTCGCAAAGGAAAAGCAAGAACCCAACAAGCAACAATTAGAACATCACGTCTCGAAGCCTGTTGTGGTAAGGATAAATGAGGTTACATGGTGCCAAGGTAGCTGACGAATGTTTCTTTACACAAAAGGAGGATCATTCAAGTCTTTGTGAACAAGAACATCCTGTTGTACCATCATCCACACTCCCTGAAACAGCTTCTTCCGTTACGGAACCTCTTGTCCAAAAAATTCACGAATTGAGTCAACGGGTGTCGGGTACCAAGGATGCTATTGAGTTGAAACACTTGTTTGAAGCTATTGAAGCGGGTGCCAATGCAGTGAAGGCTTGTAGATTAGTGAACATGTAGAATAAAGGATGACTTTTGGTGGGATTTATGCAGTACAGACATACAATGAAGATAATAGGGTGAGTGTTACTACTAAAGAGGGGATAGAGTTGTAGAGGGAATTGACACGCGACAAATCGGAGTCAGCACGCGAGGTGGTATAGAAAGGAACGTGCAATGTATCCAAAAGTAGGGGATTAGGTACGATCCTAGTAAAGAGTGAGTCTAGAAGTGATAAGAAGCTATTGCAGCTATGCAATTGAACGTGGGTCAAGTGCTGTGAATGGCACTCTGCACGCGGGATAGATCGATGCACGTAAACCTTATTTTACCCTCCAAAAGAGGGTCGCTCTTGTAATTTGGCTCTATTCACACTCTCTCTTTTCTCTTTGCTCTCTCTTTCTCCCTCACTCGAAACACCGTTCTATCGCGACGTGCTCTCTCTTTCTTTTCCCTTTCTTTCTCTCTCTCTCTTCATTTTCACCCCTCGAACACCTCATCACATACACTCATTGGTGAGTACTCTCTCTCTCTTTCATCTCGATTGCAGTCACCTGGGTGGTTCATTGTCAGCTCATCTCTTTCATCTCGTTACGTGATTGGCGACTCTTTCAGAACTTTGAGGGGGAAACTCTTTTTTATCCACCTTATCAACGACCCAACCCATAACGTTATCTATCCATATCCTATCACCATTTATCTTGTAACCATCCTGGAACAAGGGAGGATACACCAACAGTATGCAGCGGAATGCATTTATGACAGACTACCCGGTGAGACACGCCGCCGCACCACCACAACCACAACCACAACCTCCCGCATCTTCACAACAGCCACCTCGACAACTCGATATTCAACAGCCAAAGGCAAGAAACCAGCCACAGGGTCAGGTAGGTTAATAGGCAAAAAAAGAAAATGCGTGGCGGCGGGTTACCTGATAAAGACATTGTCATTGATTATTTTTGGTCTAGTTGGCTGCCCTGATGCGAGGCCGCACAGGCGATGCTTCCGGTGATCCCGACTTTTTCTTTGACCCCACAAGAACAGACCATGAACATCGTTCAAGCAGTGCTCCTCCAGATCAACATTTACTTTATTTAACTTCATCTACTGCAACAACGCCTATCACTGCTTCCGATGCTGGTATTCGTCGTCATTGGGATCATCATCATCATCATCATCAACAACAACACCATCATCATCATCATCATCATCCCATGGTTACTGGTGCTGGTAGTGGTGTTGCTTCTCCACTTTATGATTCAGCACGTCAAGCTTGGTCCTCTACTCCAAGTCATGTGGAAGCAAACAAGGCACTTGATTCAGGTATACATTGCATCTATCCACGTCATTTAAATTAAAAGTACTCATCATCCAATAGATGCAGGTTATTTCGATGCCTTTTCTCCCGATCATTCGCGTGAAAGAATGTGGAACAATCATGGAACTTCTTCTGGTTTGATGTCACCCAACTTGTTTGACGGAGGCGATCAAGGGGTAAGTAAATATCCCAAAAGGGTAATTGTTCCTTTTTATCATTGTCGTTATTGACAAGTGGGTGTTGTTATAGGGACCAAGTCGTTCGGTGTCACCCTTTGCACCTCTCAACAAGCAACAACAACAACAACAGGATCAATTCATGTCACGATTCAATACAGCAGCGGGTGGTGCTGGTAGTGGTAATGATATGGTGGAGCCCCAACTACGCACAGCCATGATGATGCAATCATCGTCAGCAAGTACCCGTAGCAGTGATTATCGTAACCATCAATTTCCACCTACTTCAAGTATGATGACGAATGCAGATTTTGGAATGTCGGTAGCTGGATATGGTAGTGGTCAGGATACAAGTGGATTTCGGGCCTATGATGATCCATCATCTTTTGGTGTTCATCATCCTCATCCTCAATTCCAACAACAGCCGACATCCCCTCCTATGCCTTACAAATTCACAGCGTCTCCGCCTCCTCGTGCAAATTCAACACCGCCAACGAGCCACATGGCAACACAACAACGCAAGGATGTTCAAGACTATAACAACTTGGTCTTTGGTATGGGTGCACTTGGATTAAATGATCATGTAAGCATGCTACTTTGTTATCGTCTTTTGTTTGTTTACTCACACTCACACACAACCCATCCCCCTTGTTAAAAGGTACCCAATGAACAACCAAAAATCAACCGTATGACACCACAGCAACAACAACGTTATATGCAATGGATGAATCGACAAGGTGGCGGTGGTGGTTCCGGTGGCGGTGTTAAGCCACCTCCACAAAGCTTGGATGCTATGCTCAATGATGGTTGGCCAAATCAAACTAGTGGTGTCATGTCTCCTGGTAAGGGGAAAATAGGTGAAATCCTGTTATTTGATACTCATCCTATGACCATTTTAGTGAGCTCTCCATTTGATATGGATGCAAGACATGGTGCTGTGTCTCCACCCATGTATGGTGGTCTTGGTGATCTTGGGTTTGATGATAGCCGTGATGAGCTATTGATGGATGCTGCACGTCAACGTCAACGACAACAACAACGTCAACAATTGAACAAATTTCCATCCACACCTTCATTGTCAGGATTAGCCAATATGGAAAATGATCATGCAGCATGGGCAGCTGCAGCTATGGCTGGTAGTGGTAATGCAAGTCCTGCTAGTGCAGGTGGACCCATGTTTGATCTCCCAGCAGCAGCCACAGAAAGTGATCGACAACTCTTATTGCAACTTCAAACACGTCAACGTCAAATCATGATGCAACAGGAACAACTTTTGTTTTTACGTAATCAAATGCTACGTCAACAACATTCTCAAGAGATGTTGCGCAACATGGCAGCTGCTGCAGCCACAACGCCTTATGGTGCTTATGGTGGATCTGCCGCTGCAGCAGCCGCTGTGGCCGCCGCAGCCGCAGCTGGTATGCGTGGTGGTGCTGGTGGTGCTGGTGGTCCTCGTGTGGTGCATGATCCATCGGTGGATATCATTCGTAGTCCTTTGCTTGAAGAGTTTCGAAGCAACAAGAATCGCAAGTACGAGCTTAAGGATATTGTCGAACATGTCGTTGAATTCAGTGGTGATCAGCATGGTTCCCGTTTCATCCAACAAAAACTTGAGACAGCCAACAGTGATGAAAAACAACTTGTCTTTGATGAAATCTTGCCCAATTGCTTGCAACTCATGACCGACGTCTTTGGCAACTATGTCATCCAAAAATTGTTTGAACATGGCAGTCAAGCTCAAAAGATGGTGCTTGCTAAGCAAATGGAAGGTCACATTCTATCCTTATCCTTGCAAATGTATGGATGTCGTGTGGTACAAAAGGTATGTTGAGTGTATACGTATGTGTCAAATGACGCTTTTATTCATTCGATATTATGATATAGGCTTTGGAACATGTGCTGACAGATCAACAAGCTGCCATGATTCGTGAATTGGATGGTAGTGTTTTGAAATGTGTCAAGGACCAAAATGGCAACCATGTCGTGCAAAAGGCAATCGAACGTGTTCCTTCTCAGCATATTCAATTTATCATTGACACCTTCCATGGCCAAGTTTATCATCTTGCTACCCATCCCTATGGCTGCAGGGTCATTCAACGCATGTTTGAACATTGCCCTGAAGAACAAACGGTAAGTTACTATTGAGGTCTACACATCCACGAACATACGCTGATACGTTCATGTGTATATAGGCTCGCCTTCTTGAAGAGCTTCATTGTTGCACCAGCCAGCTAGTACAAGACCAATACGGCAACTATGTCGTCCAACACATCCTTGAGCATGGCAAAGAAGAGGACAAGGATATGATCATCGGCAAGATCCGTGGTCACGTGTTGCAATTGAGTAAACACAAGTTTGCAAGTAATGTGGTCGAAAAATGTGTCGCTTATGGTCGCACAGAGGATCGTCGTGCCCTTATTGATGAGGTGCTGCAAACACGACCTGATGGGTAAGAAAAGCATATATCAATGGTTGAGGATTCCTTATACTTATTATCCTTTTATCTAGATCTTACCCCCTGCTTACATTGATGAAAGATCAATACGCCAATTACGTGTTACAAAAGATGCTCGATGTCGTTGACGACAGTGAACAACGCAACCTTTTGGTGACCAAGATTCGTATGCATTTGCATTCTGTTCGCAAATACACCTATGGCAAACATTTGACTCAGAGTAAGTGGATTTTTTCTTCGGATGGGAGAGTGTTTGTGGATGTGAGTATTGATAAAGGCTGTATTACAGAGGTAGAAAAGCTATTACCCTTGAGCGGTGACGTTCAACAACAAGAACCCAATACTTCAACCAGTACAAAAACGCAAGCTGATGCTTCTGAAACTACTACGTCCCCATCGACAACGAATGGAACCACTGCTACAGCCACCACCGTAATGCCCACAGCTGACGAGAACAACAGCAGCAACAACACTACTACACAGTAAATCTCTTCTTTTTATCTTCTTTCTTTTTCTTTTTTTCCCCTTTGTTCATAACCCAAGTACATGCCCCCCTCCCACTTCCTACGTTTTATACCACTTTTATTAGAAAGCGGAGGATGGAAGAGCAATCTTTCGTGTTCATTTGTGTACATGTGAGCCCCCCAACACACTTCCCCTTTGTATTAGTCCCAAAAAGAGAGATCCCCCCCTCTTTCAGTGTATATGCAACACCCCAAAGTATCTATTATAGTCTTTTTTTCTGCATCTTTTTATATTTGAAACAATGAAAATACCGGTGCTTCCAGTAGATCTGCACCCTTTAAAATCTTGCCTTCAAGTATAACATTGGTTTCTAGTGGTACAGCTTCCATCATACGAATCAACTTTTCAGCAGCTTGTGCAGTGCCTCCTGTTGCCAAGACATCATCCATCGTTACCACCTTTGCACCAGGACGAATGGATCCTTTTTGTATCTCGAGGACATCCTATGTACGTAGTCGTCAATTTTACTAAAACAATATCTCTCTCTTTCACTTACAGGGCCATATTCCTTCTCATAGCTCACTGAAAAACATTCACCAGGTAACTTGTTCTTTTTCCGGATGGGAACAAAGGGAATCCCGAGACCAATGGCCACAGCTGGGCCGAGTACAAAACCACGTGCTTCAAGGCCGACAATGACATCCACTTGTTTGTCACGCAAATGATCCACGAATCGATCGACAACCACTTGAAGCGCTTGAGGGTCACGTAGAATAGGAAACACGTCAACAAACGGCTTGCCAGGCTTTGGGAAATCTTGGTATTCCACCATCATGTCATAAATGGAGTCCAAATCGCGATCCGGCTGCTTGGCTTTGGAATCAGACAACAAGCCCATGGCGAATGATGGTCGTGAAAGAAAAGAGTGGAAGAAAGAGAATGGAGACACGTTGGCGCTTTGCTGTTATTATATGTTACACCTTCCCTTTCTCAAGTGCTACAAATGACCTGACAGTCAAGTCCAACGTGGTGTAATAGTATGATCCATTTTCCTTGGCATGACCATGCTTGCTGCTGTACCTTACAACAATCATATTACTACCGGCTGACAACATTCGAGTTTGGAGGAATGGCCCAATCATGATCACCAGCTATGCAATCGCCTCCATCAGCTTCACCTTTTTTCATGCAAAAAGCAACCTCTACATCATAGTATATGTTTATCCTTTGTACGGCTAGCTAGTCTATTTTAAACACCCAGTACAATACATTATTGGTTGGCATTGAGGATATCAAAGGAAATAAGGAATGTGTAATGGGATTCGGCGGCTGTTGTCGAGTAAAGCTGTATCATGGATACAGTATCCATGACACACCACGTGCATCGCATCACCTAGACTCAGCTTGTGTAAGGGTTACAACTACCATATAATAATGATGGCAATGAGTTTGTCCGTGTCCTTGTCATTCAGCTTCGTGTGCATTCTTCTTCATCGAAAGGTTGTGAGCATAACAAAAGCTAAATCAGTATATGGATCAGACTTACCAAGTTATTCCATCATAGCAAATTCTTAGGAATGATAATCTTGGTGTTTGGTCGTGAAGGTTTGTACCAGGTTCCGCGTACCCATCTTACGCCCACTTCATAAGTTGGATATTGCATAAAGGTTGAACTTTTCAAACGCTTGGTACGATGATCCTTGGTTGCTTCTGCTGATAAAATCTTTGCATTTGGTGCATGTTTCTAGGATATCCTATTAAGACGACGTATTCAACATGCATGATCAATCTCACCCTCATGAACATTAATCGTGGAATACATTTGGTCCGTAGCCATTTCAAATTACTGACATCACTTGGTATGGGTATCGATCCAATGTGTTGTGCGGTGTACATGCCTGGGGCTGGAAGTCGCAATACGTAGCACCTTTCGATGATCTGCAAAGAATTTATCTTACCCTTGACAGTAACGAGGTGATCAATGGGGACCTTAATATGACCACCCATCGTGTTACACGGCCTTCGTCACCAAGCAGCCTCTTTTTCGCAATAGCCGACACAGCAATCGCCGGGATCAGCGGAAACCGTTAGATCACCCCCATGCAGGCTGTAGTCCAATATGCCACTTTATCCACCTTTCAGGTGCATTTCGCGAGGTAGCTACATGAAAAAGGAGATGATTTAGTATATGGACATATGCTTCATCAAGCGAGGTGAGTATTTCTTACCTTATTAACGATCCAAATATCACAACAATGACAACAAGGAAAATGAACTAGGATACAACAATGAAATCTTAACGATCATCAAGAATATCAGCACATGGATCGCTCACAAAGAAAGACTCTCAATCTTGATACTCACACCAAAAGCTTTTGAACTTGTCAGCAATCAAAGTGTGGTATGATGGGAAAAAAGAGACGTGTGGGAGAAAAGCGATGGGCGACAACATCCATCCTGTTTATATCTGCATGGTGGGCGTGGGTATACCTGGATCGCAAACAAGGAGAAAAGAATGATAAAATGGTGATGAGCTGATAGCTTGTTGAGAGCCTTTTGCAAGGAGCCTTGCTGTGATTGATTGTGCATGCATGAATCAGGTTCTGAGATATGTAGACAAGGTGGCAAATGGATTCATTGTTGATGCTAAAATTGAAATGGGTAGCATGACATTGTTACATTTGTACCATTGTGCTACTGGGAAAAAGACTCGAGGGCATGAATACACTCACAAAGAGACACATGAGTGCTGAGCAAAGTGCCAATTTGTGCAAGACCAAAACCACCTTTTGATCACGCCTCATTCTTTTCTTTCACACCATCTCTCTTTCTTTCATTGTTGCGCGTGTATGTGTTGTGGCCTCTTTATTTATCTTCAACATGCGAATAAACATGGCATACTATAGGAGTGACGTCAATGCAAAGTATACCAATGCAGACCTACACTACTGAATCTTCGGGATCGGCTGCCCTTAAGCAGCATCCACCGTACAAGGATGATATTGATGATGACGACGTACCAGGGATCAAAAAGCAAGATGTGGAGACAACTTTTGCACAAAATTATGGGTTGGGCGATATTCATCACGTATGTTTGACGCTCGTCATTGACTCGTAATATGGCGGGATGCTTATGTTTTTCATGCAAGGGAACGTATGGTACCTTAATGACTGCACTTGGCAATGTCATTGGCTTGATGGGATCGGTAATGCGTCGTGCATACATATCATACGTTCATTCATTGATGTGTTTCAAAATGGAATACCCTATGTAGATACCATGCTGTGTTTGTTGTCCCAATCCTTTTAAACGAGTACATCAAGGTACCGTAGGTCTTGTGTCACGCTTTGGAAAATGTTATCGTATTGTGGATCCTGGACTTGTGCAGGTATGCATGCAAAAATCGCATCGTGGAGGAAAAAGGATCATGCACTTATCAACCACCATATAGGTCAACCCTGTCACTGAAAGCCTTAAGCGAGTGGATGTTACCATTCAAATCACTGATGTACCAAAGCAAGAAGTCATGACTAAAGACAACTGCTCCATAAAACTAAAATCAGTATTGTATTGGCGTGTTGTGGCACCCTATGAAGCTGAATTCGGTGTTGCCAATGTGTCCATGGCATTGATTGAGAGGTGGGTGTAGAGTATAAGGTGCGTGCCGTATCATCTCATATTGGATTTTCACGTTCCTCAGAGCTCGTACTGTTTTACGCAACGTATGTGGGCAGCATTCATTACAAGATCTTATTGAGAATCGTGATGCTGTCTCACGTGAGATACAAAAGACAATCAACCCTGCAGCATTGAATTGGGGTGTCGAGGTACTTTACGCGCTGCTTGATGGAAGATTAATGATATCAACAAGTACTCATTTTAATGTATAGATTGAAGCTACGCTTGTGAAGGATATTGACATTTCAGAAGAGTTGCAAGAATCATTGTCATCAGCAGCTCAAGCTAAACGTATTGGTGAATCACGTGTTATTACATCTGAAGCAGAAGTGGAGTCTGCCAAATTGATGCGCGAAGCTGCAGATATCCTTAGCACACCTGCAGCCATGCAGATCCGGTATTTGGAAACACTTTCAACAATGAGTCGAGCTGGACATGGACCCAAGACCATTTTTATGCCATTGAATCACAATCGCATTGATAATGACATCACATAATTAACCCATTCCCATAATTACAATAGTGTGAGTGCTCTCTATAATGACATGTTACGGTAATAAAACAAACTTTTGGCAAAATTACAATTGGTGAGTGTGTGGGGGGAGTAGTGTTGTGCAAAGAAAAAGATATGACATATGATGCATTTGCTATGGAATGGTAGGTGATGGGATCTATGCTGCCGTAGTGGTGAGGGGTTGCAAAACTTGGAATGATCCGGTTCCTCCTTCGACAACCTTGCCCAAAACGATGCGTGCGGAAGGTGATTCAAGCGTATCAAAGTCGCCATGTAAAGTGGCATCCGTCAAGAACTTGCATGTAGACTCATAACTCATCTTGAGGAATGGCGATGTATTACTTGCGAGACCCATACGGTTGAATGGCTTGTAACCACCCTCGAATGTCATGTAATCGGCAATCAGCGTCAAGTGTCGTCGATCCACCTTGATACCGTACACATCGAAAACACCTGCAATTTCCTTGATGATGGCATTGCGTGCTGCTTCAACACCATAAGTGCGGAGAATGGCTGCAATGTCATTGGTATCAATGTAGTTTATATCAATCAAATCGCTGTGGCTCCACATGCCAATCAAGTTGACACCTTCAGTTTGCAGACGTTTCTATACATGTATATGTTAATCATCATCATCACAATCATCCCCCAATGCTGTAAAACTTACCGAGGTATCATTCTCAGTAGGGTTGACATATTCAAAGCATCGTTGGATACCCTTGATTTCGTGAACAATGACACGTGTGCTGATCTTTTCAATCAAGCTGACCATGAGCATCTTTTTGACATCGGCAGGGAAAGTCATATCAACTTCACACCAAGCGCCATCCTTGTCATCAAATGACCATCGAGAAACATAGTCGTGATCTTCCACTGCAATCTTGGCCCAATTCTCGCTATTGGTTGTAGCCGATCCATCCTCAAGTTCCTCATCATCATCAACACCGTTTTGTGCAACCTTCTCAAGCTCAGCTTCTTCGTCCTCAAGTGTTCGGTTGGCAACATCTTCCTCATCAGGCTCATCGTAGCTGGCGTTTTGTCGAGTCTTTGCTGCTAATCGTGCATCGGTAGCGTCACCATCACCAGCATCCGAATCATAGGTTGCTTCAACAGCTTGACTATCATCCAAATCTCCTGATTCACCATTGTCATCACGTCCCTTGGATGGGGCAGAGATATCTTCAGTGTAAGCTTTGCGTGCACCCTTGATATCACGTTTGATAGCATCCTGCAATCCCTTCAAGAAGGTAGTTGCCAGCACTTCCTTCACACGCTGAGCGGTGACACGGTATTCTTCACGATATTCCTTCTCATTGAACAAGTTGAGGCGAATCGAGTACACCTTGGCACGCTGATAGTTGGTTTCTGCCGACTTAGCCAATACGGATTCGGTGACAACAACATTGTCTAACAGCTGTGACAAAGTAAGCTTGCTAGCCTTTTTGCAAAAGTTGGATGCATCTTCTTGAGAAACATCAGGCTTGAGTGGTAACAACATGGTGGGGGTCTTGATGACACGAGCAGCAGTCATGATGATTTCACGAAGACGTGGGATACCAAGAGTCACGTTAGCAGCACCATAACCAGCAAAATGGAAAGTGTTGAGGGTCATTTGAGTAGAAGGTTCACCAACAGATTGTGCAGCCAAAAGACCAACAGCTTCACCAGGATCCACCAAACTATGCAAGTACTTCAATTGCATCAAAGCTCTGAATTTGTTTCTTGTGAGTGATGAGAAACGCTCATTGTTCTTGGTCTTCTCGGTAGATTTGCTGAATGGCATGTTGTCAGGGTTCTGATCAATGTATTTCTTCATGCCGAGTGCGAACTTCTCCGATACAACACCCAAATGAGTGGATGGGCTGTAGACTGATAATGCAGGGTCGTACTTTCCAGGTTTCTTGAGTGCCTTCTTAACGTATTCTTCACCATCCTTGGTGTTGAGAGATGTCAATGCAGCCTTGGGGTTGTACTTTTGAGTCAACATTTCAAAGTTGTGTGCTGAGAAGCTGAACTCGTTGAGGTACTTGGCCTTGATAACATCAAGCGAATCTTCACCATAGTTGAATTGCAAGATAGAGCCATCTGAATCACGTACAGTGTGATCATAGAACACACGCAAGCCTTCCAAATGCTTGATCAAACAACGTTGCAAGTAACCGGAACGGGATGTCTTGACAGCGGTATCAATCAAACCTTCACGACCAGCCATACAATGGAAGTAGTATTCTTGTGGACGAATACCAGTCAAGAAACGACCAGCAACATAACCACCAGCACGTGCACTTGTATCATAAGGGCGGAAAGATGGCAATGATCGACCTGAAACCATGAGTGGGACACGACGGCCTTCCAATTCCTGTTGACCAAGCATACAAGAAATTTGAGCAGCGTTGACATTGGAACCCTTGGCACCAGAAACAGTCATCATTTGCATGTCGTTGGCAGGGAATTGGCGCACAAGACCATTGGGAAGACACTTTTCAGTAATAGAGGAAGTGAGCTTGTTGACCTTGGACTTCATGGCATTATCAAGACCAGCCAACTTGTTATCATCACGAGCAACTTCAGCCATACGCAAGTTGAATTCTAACATAGAAAACAGCGTTAGATGACCAATAAAAAATGGATGGATTCATTTACCTTTTTCAAGTGATTCCTTGCTTGCTGTCTTTGCACTTTCAGTCAAACCCAAATATTCCAAATGTGCTTCACGACCAAGGCCTTGACCATTGTCCAAAAGATCACGACGCCATTTGTCACCCTCTTCCGTCAAACGCAAATCATCCATTCTACAGGTGAAACCATGGCTTTGAACAAACTTGGTGAAGAGACGACCAAAGATGCTGAGAATCTTGCCAGCGGCATCAGGACCATAAAGTTCATAAATGGAGTGAACAAGACCATAAGCTGAAGCACCAAATTGGGCCTTATCAAGAACACCGGTCAACAACTCGCCATCCATGACAAGCACTTCTCCTTCTTCATTGGCATCCTTGCCCCAGTATCGACCAGGCACCTTGGGTTTGGATGTCAAATTGAGCTGGGGTTTGCCAACAGTCAAGTTCAATAAGATGGTAGAGATCTAAAAGTACAATATGAGTCATCCTTTTCAACAAGCTACACAACTCCATCCCCCAAAACTTACCACTTGTTTACCAGTCCAAAGAGGTTCAGGCTTCCAAATTGTGGGAGGCAAAGTGATCACACGACCATTACCAGTGCTACCATCTTCAGGACGAAGGGAACCATATAACAATTGTTGATACTCTTCTCGGTTGAAAAAGGTACCACGCGATGTCATCCATACACCCGAAACAACGTGATCTTGAATCAAACCACGAAGAGGGTTACCACTGGTAGGGACCAAGTATTGGTTGTCGGTGTTGGCAATAAGAGCTGCTTCGGCGCGTGCAATCTCGTTTTGAGGAAAATGCATGTTCATTTCATCACCATCGAAATCGGCATTGTAGGTGTTACAATTGGCGTAGTGCATACGAATAGTCTTTTCACCAGGCAAAACACGTGCTTTGTGAGCCATGATGGAAGGCTTGTGCAAAGTAGGCTGACGATTGAGCAAAAGCATATCACCATTACGAAGATGGCGGAAGACCTTCTTGTTGATGGTTTGAGTGCGAGTGGGATATGGGTTGCTGGCACTTTGAGCAGCTTGAGAGCTTTGAGGAGCAAGCAAAGAGTTGGCAAGAGCAATACGAGATTCCAAGCTGAGATTTTCCAATACATCCAAAGATTGATCTTCATGTTGCACATGCGTAGCACCGGGCCATTTGAAAGGACCATTGATGACAGCTTGACGCAACTCCTTGATATTGTGAGCCGTCACAGGTTCAGGATAAGTCAACTTGCGTGCAAAGACTGGAGGCACACCAATTTCATTTGTCTCAATATTGGGATCGGGCGAAATAACGGATCTGGCAGCATAGTTGACACGCTTGCCCATCATATGCTTTCTGAAAAGACCTTCCTTCTTCTCCAATGCCTGACGAATACCAGGAGGTGGCGTTTGACCCTGTCCAAAGGTACCAGGATTCTTTGTTGAATCAATAAACGAGTTCATGGCATGTTGCAATCCAATGATGCTCTCGATAAACATATTCTGAAGACGAATAATCTTTTCTTTGGTGCTATCCTGGTCGTTCTTTGAAGCTTGAAGCTCGTTGGACAAATCACGTACTTGATGTGCTGTTTTCAAGATGCCGCTCAACAATTCATTTTGTGGAGATTCAAACACCTTGTCGCCCATAACAGAAGGAGGTCGAAAGCGTGTAGGAGCAACAGCCAACACTTCAATAAAGAACATGTGATAGGTGGCCTTGCGAACCTGAGATGGGACACTGGGATTGCGTGCACCAAACAACAAGGTGGTAATCTCGGGCTCTTCTTCAAACAAAGACTGGATGTGCTTGCGAACTTGCCAAGGATTCAAATATCGCTGACCGGCGTTGCTGAGTTCTTCGTCGACTTCAATGTTTGGAAGTGCTGCCATCTTGGTTTGATCTTTCTTGGTTAAACTCAATTGGAAGAGCTTGGCTGCACCATCACGGCGAATAGGTGGCGAGATACCCTGGCAATTACCACAACGCTTGCAATGGATACAGATCTTGATGAATTCAGACATCACTTGCTTTCGCGCATCGTTGATAACTGTCAATTTGTAGTTGTCGTTGGCAAATCGGCGTGCTTGATTATCAGCCATACAATCCTTCACGTAGTTATCTAAACAATATTACAAAGCCAATATGAATAATCGATCCTTCATTTACACGTGTCATCTTGATATTTACCAATGCGAGCTATATAGTCTTCTTCCTTATCCTTTGCCAAGCCATCGGTCTCCATCTTATCCTCAAGGTTATCCTCATCTCCCTTCTTTGCGCCAGCCATGTGCATTTCATCAAGTGCTTGTGCTTCACGAATAAGACCATGTTGGAGGAGATGCAATTTTGCAATCGTTTTTTTCATCTAAGCGTATCACAAGTCAGCCATGGAAATCCATCACCCCAAGGATAAAGTCAATCAACGTACAAAGTAGCGATTCACTCGAAACTTGTTACAGTATACACATTTGGCACGGATGATGGCGTATAGGTTGTCGAAGAACATTGGGTTGTAGGTTGGCACTGGTAATTCAATGTGACCAAAGTGACCAGGGCATTGGATACTGTTTTGCGAACATGTTGCACAACTAAGAAGAGAAAAAGTATCAGCAACCCGCCATTGGTACTCGATCTTGTTGAATGACATACATTTGTGTTCGTTGGTATGGGCCGAGTGCAGGATCGTATAAACCGCCCTTGGTAGGATGTCCAAAAGTGTCAAATAAAACCGGGTTGATGATCTGCTTGACGGAAATCTTGCGAATCTCGTGCGGCTCGTAGAACGAAAAAGACACCGAGTCGATCTCTGATCCAATGGGACACGATATGTTCATGTCGATATCGGCTCGGTTGCTACCCGAAGGAGGAAAACAGTGGGAAAGATGTCAAGATAGAATAGCCCGCTCCTTGGAAAATAAAAGCAGTCAGTGGTCACCTCAGCCACTGATCACTTCGGCCAAATTCCTCTTTGGGTAACCTCTTGGGATGGTCCGTCCCCGACAACACGATGATGCCACATAGCTTATAATCACATTGGATAATAAATGATCATTTATACACATTTCATTCCCACGTGCTTCCTCATTGTAATGCATGTCTTTGTACATAGATTGCCATAATGCCAACGCTTCCTCACTTTTTGTTAACGTATGATGATGCTCACTTTATTAGCCAATCCACGAAGTTACGCTACCTTTATCTCAAAGTCCATGTGATCCCACTCACAATAAGACGCCTATACCATATGAGTTATTAGAAACCTTTATGCATCAATTGCCAACTTGGATCTTCTCACTCAGCTAGTATTCCAACTATGTGTCTTTGTTGTATGTACTTTTATTCATAAGCTCAACTCATACTACGCATGTTACCTATTACTAATTACTACCTTAATCAAGGATGTAATGGAATCTGGGGTATGAGGTTGGACCATCCACTCGTTTGAATACGTGATTTACAAGACCTTTGGTTAGACAATGTAACTTTGGGTATGATCATGCATCTCCTTGGTTTCGACCCCCCCCC